CAATAGACAGTCCGGAGCTGACCAGTCCCAATTGACGGCGCCCGTTCACGAGCATGACACGTACACCAGCATCGCCCAACTCAACCATAATATAGGGAATCGAGCGATCCAGTGACCGTGCCACCGCCAATGTGACCTTTGAGTGAGCATGACAACTCCAAGCTGACATAAGGACCGACATTCTGCTAGTCTAACTAATTTTAATAGGTTACAGGGCACTCACATTTACAAATTTATCAAGTTAAACAATAAAAATAGCATGGTTACAAATTTACAAAATCTAAGAACTTCCGTTCAAGCAAAGATCCACTGGAACATTATTTATATTCGTGTAGGTATATTATCCTGTGGAGCAGGACCAGCCCGTCTCCAAGCATCCTTATCCTCAATATAATCACTCAGTTTGTAATATGCTTTTTTACACAAAGTTTTCTTTACACATAATTTAAAATTTCTTTCATTTAATTGTTGTATTTCGCCTGGGATTTTGTTATAACACTTAACGCTGAATCCCATGAACGACTTGTGTACCTTTGCCAATCTAAATAATGGCTGACACAATCTATCTCTAAGTCTAGTTTGGTAATTATGTCTGTCTGATACCTTATCAAATAATATTAAGTGTTTCCTAACATACATTATATTTTCATAAATAAATTGACCGGGCACAGTCATAATATTGATCTCTTTAAATTTTTCTCTAAGAGATTCGCGAAGCCTTAGGTTGTAAATTGCTCTGATTGCACGCTTTTGCAAGACAAATATAGACTTAATGTCAGCAGCCTGTCCCCACAACAAGATGCCATACGACATAATGCTATGAAAGTAGCTGAAGTACACCAGTCTTGCAGTGTCCACATCTGTTAGCTGTCGGATCTTCCAGACAGCAAATGCTGCAGAACTCAACCGTCCTGCCAGAGATGTGATATGGGGCCCCCATTGTAGTTTTTCATCTATGGTTATACCCAGAAAAGTAGTCTGTTTTACAAATTCCAATTTCTTGCCGTTTAATAATATGTCACATTCGTTACTTTTTACATTTGGTAAACTGAATCGTATACACTTTGTCTTTTTGTCGTTTAGAACTAAATTATTAACTGTAAACCAGTTATGAACCTTCGTAATAGCATTATTTACTTCGTCATAATTATTTGTCCGTCTATTTATTTTAAAAATCAACGATGTGTCATCAGCAAATAATACCATTCCCGGTTCTCGCTGAAATAAATGAGGTAAGTCATTTATGTAGACCAAAAATTGGAAAGGACCTAATATCGAGCCCTGTGGTACGCCCATAGATATGCTAGCACCCTGAGTCTCTTCTCCTAAGCCGGCTGATTTTTGCAGATATTTTTTGTCAGTGATGTTACGAGTCCTACAAAATAGGGGGGGATTGCCAATCATGAGTCATGAGGTACCTGAGGGTCGCTTTGTCTTATTCTGCTAGAATTTATATTTCTGATTGTTAAAGAGTAACCATGGAGTTTCTTGCTCGTTTTTCTCTATAGGAATCTACACTTTGAAACGAGCAAATAGCTTCACTAGTGGACTGACCGTCAGACTGACAACTTTGGTTGTTATAATATATTTTGTTTGACGTTCAGAAGTGCCTATACTGGACTATTTGAAATAAATGTTTGGCTTCGTACGCCGAGTAAATTAGAGGCGGACTTTTAAATAAAATACGAGTTCAATATTGAATACTTGTAATCATTTTTGTCTAACCGCCTAAAAAGTGGCGCCAAAATTGTTGTGTCAAAATCAAAACCATAGATAGTCAATGGCGACCATAAACAATATCTTGTATTCTCTTAACAATACTAATAGTGGGTCCCAGGGAGGGACGCCACAAATGATTTTTACTTTTTTAGAAAATATTCACCCCGATCGATTTTGGCCTTGGACGCTTCATTCCACAGTCCCAATTAGGTATGCTCAACCGATACGACAGATACAGTTATAAAATTTTTGGAAAGTTACTTGAATTATTTCGTGTGTGTCATATTTTGGAATGATGCCCAAAAATGGTAACCTACTAACAACAATAATAGAATGGCATTGCTTACATATGCTATACTCATTTACAATATACTTAGGTACAGGAAGTTATTACATACATTTATCAGGACAACAAATTATCCCTTTTTTGTCAGGGGAAAATCATCTAATGACTTCTCAGATTGTCAGACTCTTACTGACTAAAAACCCTCCCGTTCCTTCTCCTGCTCTGGGCTAAAGTCGCGGCGCCTCATTGCGCTTACCCCGCAACCCCGATTTGAATCCAGGTCATTAACTTTTTTATGCCAAATTCTTTAGAACTGCGTACAATTAACATTACCTACACATAAGTTAGGTATGCATATACCTAAACGTCGCACTAAAACTTTCACTTTTGAATAAAATAATAGATAGTATTGTGTAATTGGTATTTTAACTGATTAGGAGTCTGTTCTAATGTTGCTTAGTGCCTGTTTGACTGATTACACATAGCAGTAACTTCTGCGTATTGCAATTAAGTTTTGTGACATGCAGCACTAGAGAGGTGTGTCCAGGGTTCCGGGGCAAACTCAATACCTAATGTACTAAGGGCTAAGGCCCTGGCTCGAATTAGGAGTAGGAACTTTGGCAGTTATCTGCGTTCTGACAGTTTGAGTACTTGCGCGACCCACCCAAATATTCTTTTGATCGGTATTGTTTGTCGGACAACTCAGCAGCACTAGCTATACTGGTTGCAAACTGACACTTGCGTACCTGTCTTCACAACGGGTCCACTTAAACTGGTGTGGTTCTTTCTTCAAAAGATCGCTACAGAATGAACTTGCACGGTTCTCTCACATTATGTAATTTTTACATTGTCTGGACTTGAAAAGAGACTGACCTCTGAGTTTGTTTCGGCATTTCTTCTCAGGGTAGTCAGATAGGAAATTCCGGCTTCATCTAGTTTTTCACATATAATTTGACGTGTAAAAGTGCCGTTTTATGGCCTATTTGCTAAAATAAGTTCATTGTTTCATTGTTGTTTTTTTAGTCAGTAAAAGTCTGACACTCACTTTTGCCCCGTCCAGAGCGTAGAAGTCATTTGATGATTTTGCCCTATCAAAAAGTGAGTGTAGAGACTTAGAGATTTTCAAAAATTGTTTATGGAAATTAGGTACGGGTTTTTATGCGCGTTAAAAAGTGCAGGCTCGCGTAAATAACAAAGAGATTCTTTGTCGTTTATTATGCTTTGTTCCATCCAACTAATGTCGTATGTTCTCATTTTTATCACAACATACACTAGTTATAGCAATAAACATAGCAACACGATACAGTTTCCGCCGATTCTGCAATATTATTGAACCAAAATCTAGGAGCTATTGAACGTATAATGTAAATATTTTGATAGTTACTCAACACAGACAAAAACATATTACTTAACTACTTTAGCTTCGTAGTATTCATTAATAATTAACGCACTTAATAGTTAAGTTAACGATTTATAGGTAATGACTCAATCAAAACAAAAATACGTCATTTTGAGTGTAAAATAAGAATGATTTTGTACACAGAGCTGTCTGTATGGTGACGTTTTTGCCCACAGACACGTATAGGGGATAAAAGATCGGTCGAAATCGGTGTAGTTCGGAAAAATTCGCAATGTTCTATCCCGCTCGCACTCGTGTAAACGCCAATCACGTCACGCTATCGAATTTCCGTGCTCTTCACATCGCATTCGGACCGTAAGTACAACCAGTACATATTTTTAGACTGTGCAGTGCAGACGTTTATGTAGAACTATTTTGTCGGTGTTTTTTGTAAACGAGATTCAAGAATAAAACGTATAATTGTTATATTGGAGGTGTTATCCCTTTTAAAATGGCTAAGGTAAACTGTTGTTTATTTTTCGTTCTTCCGCTCGCGACGTTATCGTTTTGTGGATTCATAAATTCTCATTTTTTGCAACGAAATGTCGTACCACCAGTGACGTATCGTCTAGGAAGATAACTTCAACATTATTTCATAATAAAATTAGTTTTTTTCAAAATTAACTCTTATCTATTTTAAAAACTTGTACTAATTAAGAGTCTATGTTAATTAGACCGGTTGTTTTGAATGAAAAAAAAATAAATGTTGGTATATGTAAACATTTTAACACAAATATTAAGGAAAAATATTAAAAAAATTCGTTCGCTTCGCAGGTTAACCGCGCGAATTCGGACTCGTTATGTGTGAAATGAAAACAGCCAAAGCGTTTACGTTTACGCGTTTTTTTAAGTTATACTGTATACATTTTTGTTTATATTTAGATTTTAACATAAACTCGTTGATTCCCAAAGATGTGCAGTTTTTTAACATAAACAGGTAACATTATGTCACTGTCAAAATCGATAACTACCTATTGAAAAAACTCAAAATGACATTGCCAGTTCAATAACTTCCCGTAATTGAAGGATATTTTATTTACATATTATCTCCTTGTCACAGCTTTAAAAAAACATTTAAGTATCTAAATGTAACTTTATAATTGTTTTAAGATATACAGCACATTTTTTGTTTAATTAATGATTATTATATCAAATACTTGGCAGTAGCTGTTTGTTTACAGATTTTAATGTTTAAGTAATTCAACTAACTATTAAGATAAGAACTCAAACGTACGATTGTTTTATACATAAATGTCTCGAGTTCATATCATATCAGTTATTTTATTAGGTACCACAATAAAATATTATTACCACTTCACGGCAACCATCCACAAAGCGTTTAGTTTATACTTTTAAACAAATAATTGTTGTTGTTTTACATTTTAGTCAAGGTAGCCTTGATAATTCAAGAATTTCTACACGCTTATATAATCAAACGCAATATGCTTTGAAAAACATAAACACATTAGTCACACCAATTCTAGTAAAACGTAGTGTTTTTTTCTAGTAGGTGCAGTTAATTTCTCAAACCGGTTATGGTGCTGTTAATTCTAGCATGGCAACCCAAGTTGTCATTTGGCCTATCATTTTGACAGACCGGTCGATTTTATCCAGTAGTGAACTATTTTCCGCGAAAGTGATCGATTTTTTAACCAAACATTAATGTATTACACAATAAGAAGTCTGTTAATGCAAGCTAGGAACACCTATAAGAAGTTTACAGACATGAATAAGAGCAATATTGCTGTAAGTATCCATTTAATTGTATAAAATGACGCGTCTTTAGATATTTTCTTACATGGGCGTTGATAACTTCAGTAAAGACGGAAAATAACCTTCAATTAGCATTTCTTTGCCTTATAATTGCCTTGAATGTGCTGGAAAATGATTAGAGTGCTATAAAAGTGTGATATTTGCGGCAATTTAAGCTGTTTTAGGTTATATCGCGGTGTTTCGAATGTATACATTTTAGAATTGGGTTTTAACGTAATTTATTGCTGTTTAATCCGCTAATCAGTGTTATAAAGTGTTAATAATGAGTTGTAGGTGTAAAAAAGACACTTGACGACAGTGAGTATCGTAAATTTCACACAAAACCATAAAATACGTAGAAGAATCACATTATAACTTAAATCAATGAAAGCATTTTGTTTTGAAGTATATTCAACTATGTTAATTTCTTGTCGATAATCAGAGCTTTAGACTTTAATCTTAGACTTCTCCCTGTTATGTAACTCAGTAGTATCCAACCAGTCAAATTAAATACTCTTATAATAATTTGTTTTTATAAAACAACAAGTATTCTTCCAAAACTATTTTTTCTGTCAGCTTGACCAATTAGATGAGGACCAAGATAAAATACTATGAAGTCTTTATTCACAACATTTCCTTCCTCATTATGTTAATCTAGCTATTTAATTGGCTAATGCAATTTACACCTTTTTGGCCTCAAAATATAGGTGTTTTTGCTACTTCAACAAAGATTTGTGGTTTAGAAATTTGTTAGTTTATTTTCTTTGTAAACTAAGTATAATTTATTAATTGTTTATATGTCACCGTAAACTAGGAATGTCTTCTATGTAGTGGGTATGTTTACCAACACTAGTTGACTTGCCAATTCCTTTTTTTATGTCTGATGTTTAAATTTGTTTAAAACATTTTGGACTTTTTTTACTTTTCTTACGGCATATTTTTTTTAAGAAAAGTTGCCCCAACATAGAATTTTCTCCTGTGTTGTAAGTGCATTTACAAACATACAAATTCACATACACAAGCTACCCAGACCTGAAACATCAATTTGCGGATCACACAGTGTTGCTCTGTGCAGGAGTCGAACCCGCCACATGTTTAACAGCAGCCGGTTGCCCAGCCGGCAATGTGATAGCTTCAGTACTCTAAACCTAAGTTGTATGAACACACAACTTAGGTTTTCATGTATGTTTGTGTGACGATAACTTATCATATACTACACAAAAGATATGATCTGACACATTTTTTTCCTTCATTTAATTCTGATCCAATGGAAGTTTTTATCTGATAATAAATAATAGTAAATAAATAATATTATTATGTTATGTTAGTTAGTCATGGAAAAATTCCTTTTAAAACATATACCTTTATATGTTGTTACGAAATTGTTTTTTTATGTGATAAGGTGGCAAAGTGGATGTGGTAAGCAATCGGCGCTGCCCATGGACATCTGCAACACAAGAGAAGCAAATGCGTTGCCGACATTTGTCGATAAGGGCTTTTGTGGAATTTTATTTGAGGGCCTCCGGTAACCTCACTCATACGGCGAAACGACGCTTTTTTTTGTGAGGGGAAAATCATCAAATGACTTCTCCCGCCCAGAGCCGGGCAGGAGGGAGTGTCTCTCTGACTCTTACTGACTAAAAACCCCCCTGTTCCTTCTGCTCTATGCCGAAGTCGCGGAGCCTCATTGCGCTTACCCCGCAACCCCGGCTGACGGCGAAACGACGCTGTGGTTAATACTTTACTGTTTTACTGGATTTAACGCGTCTGTACCTGTTGTATGTTTTTTGCTTGATGTTTCGGCAGGGTTATACCTGCCGTGTTCACAACCAGACTCGCTGTGGTTGTTTCAGGCCAGTTTTCTGTGAGGCGTCATAGTATTGGATACGGCCAATTCGTGCGGAAGAATGGCTCTCCTACACATAACAAACAAAACAAGCATTAACTCATTTTCTTTTTCACAGTGTCTTGTGTCTATATTTCTCCTTTCGAAAGACTGTAGGAAGAAATTTTAACGAAAATACACAGTACCTATGTATATTTGTTTTTGTAAACATGTTTTCCTATGTACTGTTTGCGTATATATTTTTTTCCTAAGAAAGACCTTCGTCTAATACCTTTTTCCGCCCTGGTTGCGGCAAGACGAAGTGCCCTACAGACTAGAGACCCGTTCCTTCTTCCGCTTCAGGTCAGAGCTGCGAAACATTATCGCGCTTGATCCGCAACCCCTGTTGAACAATATTAGGCCTCATTTGTGATGGTCTCATGGCTCTTTGAATTGTTGTTCGCTGGAGACGCGCGTTCAACGCCGTCCCGGTCTCTCTTGCCCAATCCAATTTCAGAACTCTGCAAAAAAAATATATACAAGATCTATAAGAAGATACTATTTGAAATATTTTGATAAGAAAGCTAGTACTACATTATATACTATAATCCGTTACTACTACGACTCAAAACCCGCTGGGGGTGATCAATATCTCCATATTTCAAGGCTAATTTGATTTATCATACAAGTTGTTATATTTAATACTTTTATCTACTCACACATGTACCGTATTATCGTATTTTACATACATATACAATGTGACACGTAACTCTTGTCATATTTACAGTTTTCGCCGATCGTAGATGGCGTTGCTGTCGTTTTGTGGCGCATCTCGCATTTTCAGGCAGGATTTCTTTATTTTACTTTTTAAAAGAAATACTTGAATTTTCTCATGTGTCGTGGGTGAGGTTACAAACACTCAATTTCACGTGTGGATCACACAAAGTGTTGCTCCGTGTGTGGAATAGCGCTCCCGCGACACATTGCACGGCAGCCAGTTGCCAAGCCACCGCACCAACCTTGCTATACATTTAGATGCAGTTCTTTTTTACGTTAAAAACTGCTGAATGTAAATTGGCACAAAGATAGATTATAGTCTGGAATAACACATAGTCTGGTTTTCTACTGCGAGCAAAGCAGCTGGTAGATGCTACTTTTCGTGGGCAATAAGGCGGCCCACTGCATCGTCTCCGTAAATGGGGCTTTAGTTTATTTATTATCACGAAAACTCAGACTTTAGTCGAGATAAGATATACTGCTTATATAGGTATATGAATCATTCATTATATTCAACATGACGTCATGACTGTGTCGGAGAGTCATGCTTCGGCACGAATGAGTCGGCTCGACCTGAGTGATGAGACATGGTCTCACAGAAAACCGACGTGAAACAACCACAGCTTTGTGACTCCTGTGATTTAGGTTACAGGAGGACCAATCCTTTGAGGACTTAGTGCTGGAAAGGGCCTACTCCTCAATCCCAAAATCCCTAATCCCCTAAAAGCTAGCAACAATCGGTGACGCCGATAGCTTACCGTCAGGTTATCCGTCTGGTCTTTTGCACAATGCACTTAATATTATGTAAACTTACGTGTCACCCTCTAATTAATTACAGCGATTAATATATAATTATTTAACGTAATTACTCCATTATCAATTCTTATGTCAATATGGGTCAGTTACTTTGAAAGTTACCTTTTACATAATCTATACTAATATTATAAAGAGGTAAAATTTTAAGTTTGTATGTAGGGGGTAATCGTGGAAACCGCTTGTCGGATTGCCAAAATTCTTTCACTGATAGATAGATAGCTACAATGTTCCTGAGTGCTATAGGGTATAGAACATCACGCTGCGATCAAATGGAGCTGAGCAGCGGATATCCTCCCATTGGTTCCAAAGATTTCCCCCTATATACAAACTTACAAAATTTACCTCTTTATAATATTTATAATATTATAAACATTCAAACTTATCGGCAGAAATAAAGGTTCTGCCATTAAAAAACCACTGCACTGCAACGTTTGCGGTCAAAAACTCATTAAAAATACATTTGCTTTTCGACTGCCATCTAGTAATTTACGAATGTCTAGAGATAAGGTCGCTCCATATTAATTACACGCTCTCGTCACATATGCAACAAATATGGAAATCATCAAATGACTCTAGATAGAGTGAGAGAGAATGATCGTTGAAGCGAGAGGGAGTGTCAGAGTCATACTGACTACAAACCACCCCATTCTTTCTTCTGGTTCAGCCGGGTTATATAGGTTACAAGCGCTCAGCAAGTGATACATTAAAATGTGGCTAACTAGCCACACTTCTTCATATTTGTCTCTTTTACACTCGCGATTATTGAATCATGCCATCCCACTTTAACGTGTATCAAACGATTTATGCATGTGTGCATCAGTGTGCCGTTTTTGAAAATCGAATGTCGTTTATGTAACCTATCTATACCATTTTACTTATAATATCATTGGTCCGCGGTGTATTATTGCGCTTGACCCATAACCCTGGCTGAACATTTGCCATGTTGGGCCTCATTTGTGATGGTCTGTTGGCTCTTGAGCGCGCTGTATACTCAGCTCTGGTTATGGTCGGACGTCCGCCAAAAAGACTCGCGCTTACGGTGACCAAATATCATAACGATGGCCATATGACATGGCAGTCAGATCAGAGAACTGCCAGATCTCTATCTGTATTCCCGGTGATAGCTTACACTTAACCCTAAAATGGAGAGTGCCGATGAGGGCTTTCTGATATTCCCCCTAAGATGGTACCTCTGTAGCGTCAGGTCAAACCTGTCAAAACACATACACGATTTATATTTTTACAAAATGACCATGTGTACAGTGCAGTACCTATGTGTGCAAGTAGACACACATTACCGCTTTTTTGAGCTCAATGTCTAGTTCGGCAACCATTCTTTTTTATGGAGGATTACCTGATGGTAAGCAATCGGCGCCGCACATGGCCACCCACAACACCAAACGAGTTACGAGTGCGTTGCCGGCCTTTTGGGGATAAGGGTTGCGGATGTAAGGATTGGAAAGGGATAGGGGATGGTAACCTCACTCACACGGCGAAACATAACGCTGTCACAATTTCTGTCCATATTCCATAAAATACATGAAAATTCACAATTAAATATACGTTCGGGAAGAATTGGTGCTATCTGACAGCTGTTTGGACCTCACGCATACGAAGCGACACGTGCCGGCAGAAAAATATACAGCACTGGCTGTAAATTTCAATTAAAAGACGTGACGAATAATTTAAAAATGCATTTTAATTATAAATAATATCCGCAATCTCAACTTTAAACAGTCTGTCATTATAATTGTGTGCCAGACATGTCCAGACACCGTTCTTAGATTCTAATTGATATTTTTATTGTTGTCCCACGTTGTTTAACAAATGACTTGCAATTTAATGTGTTTTTGTTTTGTTTAAATGATCGATTGATGTGTCTGGCTAATTGATATTGTGGATGGAAATGTGTCTGGTAATTATGAAGTCTACAATTTGAGTTTTAGAGGGAAGTGGAAACTGTTTGGTTTTTTCCACCTCATTTAATATCTTCCAATTTATTTCGTTGCGGGATCCAGGACAGTCATTCGTGTCCCTGGGACGCGCCGGACTTCAGTGTTCAGTCTTCAGTCGACCTTCAAGAAAAGACCGTCTCTTTCTTTTTAAAAGACTGGGAATGCTCTTGTAGCTCTGGGCGGCGCTGATTGCTTACCAACAGGTGATCCGTCTGATCGTTTGCCGAATAAACCCATAAAAGTTACAAATACTCTATTGGCCTATTCTATAATAAAAGTAGGCCTCCTCTGCTCTCACTGACACACTGTTTCGTTGTTTCACGCCAGTTGTCTTTGAGCCCTTAGTATCACTCCGTTCAAGCCGACATCTTAATACAAACACACGTGGTTTCTAAAATAATTGGTCACGAAATCGCCTTATCATTTACAAGTATAGATATTTTATTGATATCTGACAACAACCTTGTTAATGGATTATCGCTGATAGATCCTGATATATGCTTTTGTAAAGATTATATCGATTGATCATATCCTTTGACTTTGGTACCATTGACCCAGTGATCTATTAGACTTCAGAACTGTGTGTTGATAGTTTTTTTTGACGAAGCATTTGTTGCTTTACGCCATTTTTGCGTTTGGTTAGGATCAAGCGACGAGCTAAACTTGGTCGGATTTCTTACTGGCAGCGATCGTCGGACGATCCCCGACGTTCGGAGTGTCTCCTGTATTGACTGGGGCATGATGAGGATAGTTCTATTACGCGCTTTTCGTTCCTCTCGCTCCGCACCGTGGTCTCGACTAAGACCTGGTGTGAGAGACCAGTGCTCAGCCTACGTGTCTTCGTAATAGTTAGTATGGCCACTTTCTTGTCTTTTATCTTCTATTACATATAAAAGTGAATGGCTGTTCATAAGTCTCATTGAAACTCAAAATATAAAAAAAATTGAAAATTGGCAACGAAAAATTTATTAAAGCATCGATTTTATTTCGCATTTAAGCTGTTCTTTATGTGACAATAGATGTTTAAAGCTGTCATAGCTTTTTTAAGGGGTATAAAATAATTGAGTGTCTTCTCCCTCCCTGGATGAGGTGAGAGGAAGTGTCAGACTCTTACTGACTAAAAATCACTTCTCCTGAAGGTCTACCATGACGTGTTCTAGGCCAGGTCTGAGGTACATTATTCATATTTGTTTAATCGTAATTCTGCGTAATACATTGTGTAAAATTTCTTGGCAGTTCGCCTAATTAAAAGATTTATTTGCTAAAGTTATTTAATTGTTTGTTATCATAAACAAGTCTATATGTCATCGTCATTATCAATCATAATCATTTTCATCATTCCTTGCCTCCTGCGACGGGTGAACGGAGTGCGGAATTAAATTGTAAACAAAATTATTTATATATCTTAAAACGAACAATGATTGTATATAAATATATATATAATCTTAGGCACCAGGCAGCAGCGACATCTGATAAACTTGAGCCTTTTAAACTGCGATCTTTAAATCGCCAAAAAATTTTGGATTTATAGGAAAACCTCTAGCTATGCAAAGAAGCCCCATTGATTTTTTATAATAACTATCGTGAGACATACTAAATTAACTAAAAATCGCGGGTTACTCACGTGTCTATATTGAGAAAAGCTCTACTAGTTTCGAACCACAGAAGGGTTCCTCATGAGCAGCGTGCGCGGACGCGGCGACGTTTAGTTAAGCCTCATTGACTAGCTGTGAACTGTCACCTGCTATTTTTTTAAGTCATATTTTAATAGACGCTAAATCTTGAAATAATATAAAAGAATATCTAATAAATGTTGCTGTTTTCAAAACCAAAACAGAGATGGCGCTGTAATCGCTTTAAGTCTTTTTCTCTCTTTTCAGAAACTTCAAATGTGTGGTACGGAGGAGGAGATGAGGGAAGTGGCTGGCAGGATATGCAGGAACTACCTCCATGGAGCTTGGAAGACCGTGGACCCTAAAGATCTGAGTTTCAGACGGATTAGGTAAGAAATATGTATCAAACTAGCTTCTGTCGCGCGGTTGCATTCGCTGCTCGTCTCCTTCAAATCGTAGCGTGATGTTTTATAGCCTAAAGCCTTCCTCAATAAATGTACTAACAAACACAAAAAGAATTATTCAATTCGAACCAGTAATTCTGTAGATTAGCGCGTTCAAACAAACAAATACTTCAGCTTTAAAATATTAGTATAGATAGTGTTAATTCGGAACCTGACAAGTCATATGTACTTTCTAAATATATTTAGACATCATTGACAAATGTTGAAGGAAAACATCGTAAAGAAACCAATAAGAAGTTTAAAATCACCAATTCGCCCTAAGCAAGCGTGGTGATTAATGCTCAAACCTTCTCCGTTTGAGAAAGGGCCTTTGGACAGCAGTGGGCACTTATAGGTTAACTAGCTCGGCTCCATTTCATCGTACCATGATGTTTTATAGCCTATAGCACTCAGAAACATTGTAGCTATCTATCAGTGAAAGAATTTTGGCAATCCGACCAGCGGTTCCAAAGATTACCCCCTACATACAAACTTACAATTTTTTTTTTTTTTTGTAAAACCTTGCCCCACACTAGGATTTTCTCCTGTGTCGTGGGTGCGGTTACAAACATATAATTTTACATGCACATGACACCCAGACCCGGAACAACAATTAGTGGATCACACAAAGAGTTGTTCCTTGCGGGAATCGAACCCGCGACACGTTGCACGACAGCCAGTTGCCCAGCCACCGCACCAACCGTGTAGTCCTCTTTATATTATTACCTCTTTATAATATTAGTATAGATGATTGTGATCAGTATTAATTACAAGCGCCTTGATTCATGGCTGGCTTCGACTCAATGTGGGCGTTCAGATATCGAAATAATGGAAAATATAAATCTATTTTTAACTTTATACCTAGAATAATAAAGTAGCTTATGGCATAATATTATACAGTAGAAAAATCGATCGGTGTTGTATTGAATTTATTATAACTAACGACCCGCCCTAGCTTCGCGCGTTCTTGACAATTAGTCAAATTCAATATGTTGTTTTTCGATCTCTCATATTACGGTAGTTTCCAACTAGTCAAATTCAATACTTTTATCCAAATGTCAAAAACGATACTTTTCTATGAAAGGAAGAGTTTTTTTGCGTCAAATAGCTTACTTATTTCTTAGAAAATAGCTAAAAGTTATCAAAAATTTAGTGTATCGATCGATCGAAGAATAAACGTATAGTTATTTTTCAATACTTTGTTAGAATTGAAACGTCGAATTAATTTGTTTTTGACCTAGGAAACTACCCAATTGACAGTTTAGTTGTGACGTCATTTCAGCCGGGGTTGCGGGGTAAGCGCAATAAGGCACTGTGGCCTCGGCTTAAAGCAGTATATGGAACGGGGGGGTTTTAGTCAGTAAGAGTCTGACACTCTCTCGCCCTACCCTGGGCAGGGCAAGTTATATGACGATTTTCCCCTCACAAAAGAAATGTTGTGACACCATGTTTTTTTCTTACGTCAAATAGCATAGGTTATATTTATGAAAATTTGTTACGTAAAATCGAAAATTAATTTTGAAAATTTCATTGAATAAATGGAATAATTTTTGACTAAGTCAATAATTGGTTTGACTTTGAACACTGATGGTCAACAGTGTATTCGGAAAATAAAAGTTGTAATACTGTGTTTGATCAAGTGTTTTAAGAATGAAAAGAAAATCCGTTTATTACACACCAGCGACCGCCCCGGCTCCGTACAAATGCAATGCTGATACTTAATTTCTTCAATATTTAACGGACGTTATTATACATATAAACCCTCCTCTGCAATCACTCTATCTATTAAAAACCGCACCAAAATCCGTTGTGTAGTTTTAAAGATTTAAGCATATATAGGGATATAGGGACAGAGAAAGCGACTTTGTTTTATACTGTGTAGCGATATGTACAAATGGCTTCACACCAAGTTAAATGAACCTGTTTAAATTGACCTGATGGTAAGCAATCGGCGACGCCCATTGACACTCGCAACACTGTTACTGATTCGTCGCTGTCCTTCCGTAGATTGTTAGCATCAAATTTCTTCGCTCACCCAGCGTGGAGCGAGATGGAGTGTCAGACTTTTACTGACTAAAACCCCCCCGTTCCTTCTCCTGCTCTGGGCCGAGGTCGCGGTGCCTCATTGCGCTTACCCCGCAACCCCGGCTGAACATCAGCCCTATAGGGCACCGTCTGTGGTGGTCTGTTGGCTATTTGAGGCGCGCGCGGAACGCTACGCGCCGTACGCTCGGGTCTGGTTCTGGTCGGGCGGAGTTACCCTTACTCGCCGACCGCAGACCCGCGCTTACGGTGGCCAGAGATCATGTCTCGAACCCCGACGCCCGGAATGTCGCCTTCTGCGGCGGCTGGGGCGCGAGGAGGATAGTTCCCTCACGCGCTCCGCCTCGTCCTTTGCGAGCATAACTGCTTCGCAGAAGGAGGAGACAGCTTACCAGCTCTTCTCACTATGAACCATGGCCTCGATTAAGGCCGGGCGCGAGAGGGCTGAAGCATAGCTCGCCCACACTTAATACTTGACAATGTTTTGTTTAGCCAAGTCTAACTACATGCGTGTACTATTGAAAAAACTTTCCACAACAATAATAATACAACTTGAAATTACAACAACAGTCAAATCACTAACCATTTACTGTTAAACCAACTTTTTTATGCTTTACCGATCGCGTGTAACCTTACACTTAAAATATAACCTCGGATACAAATCGATACTGTTTTAACCTTCTGGCTATATTGTTACAACTACATTGTTCAACTTTAAACAGCAGTTCATGTAGTGTAGATGTCCAGTCAATAAGGATGTAGCGAGGTTGACTGTCCAGGCGACACACGTACTTAGGTATCGTCATGAGCTAATGTTCACATGTAAACAGCAGCTCATGTAGTGCAGATGTCCAGTCAACAAGGATGTAGCGAGGTTGACTGTCCAGGCGACACACGTCATGGGATATCTGTGTGCAAACATCCATTTACGATCATGACGTCGATTTATCAATGTCTATTTTAAAGGGAATCAACCGATTATACATAATATTATAATTATTACGTATTACGTAGTTTAGAAGCGATTATGCATATCGATTAGTTAATCGATTCAATCCGGTTCGAATCGAGAATTTTCTTGTTTATAGGCAATAGTGATAAGGCGTTTAGATATGTGCCTACTCGCGATAACATATCAGAATAATTAGTTTAGATAATTGTGGGACTATAGCCTTGTTTGTCTGATAGATGACGAGACCTAAGTACGTGTGTCGCCTGGACAGTCAACCTCGCTACATCCTTGTTGACTGGACATCTACACTACACGAGCTGCTGTTTACATGTGAACATTAGCTCATGACGATACCTAAGTACGTGTGTCGCCTGGACAGTCAACCTCGCTACATCCTTGTTGACTGGACATCTACACTACACGAGCTGCTGTTTACATGTGAACATTAGCTCATGACGATACCTAAGTACGTGTGTCGCCTGGACAGTCAACCTCGCTACATCCTTGTTGACTGGACATCTACACTACATGAGCTGCTGTTTACATGTGAACATTAGCTCATGACGATACCTAAGTACGTGTGTCGCCTGGACAGTCAACCTCGCTACATCCTTGTTGACTGGACATCTGCACTACATGAGCTGCTGTTTACATGTGAACATTAGCTCATGACGATACCTAAGTACGTGTGTCGCCTGGACAGTCAACCTCGCTACATCCTTGTTGACTGGACATCTGCACTACATGAGCTGCTGTTTACATGTGAACATTAGCTCATGACGATACCTAAGTACGTGTGTCGCCTGGACAGTCAACCTCGCTACATCCTTGTTGACTGGACATCTACACTACATGAGCTGCTGTTTACATGTGAACATTAGCTCATGACGATACCTAAGTACGTGTGTCGCCTGGACAGTCAACCTCGCTACATCCTTGTTGACTGGACATCTAGACTACATGAGCTGCTGTTTACATGTGAACATTAGCTCATGACGATACCTAAGTACGTGTGTCGCCTGGACAGTCAACCTCGCTACATCCTTGTTGACTGGACATCTACACTATATGAGCTGCTGTTTACATGTGAACATTAGCTCATGACGATACCTAAGTACGTGTTTCGCCTGGACAGTCAACCTCGCTACATCCTTGTTGACTGGACATCTACACTACATGAGCTGCTGTTTACATGTGAACATTTAGCTCATGACGATACCTAAGTACATGTGTCGCCTGGACAGTCAACCTCGCTACATCCTTGTTGACTGGACATCTACACTACATGAGCTGCTGTTTACATGTGAACATTAGCTCATGACGATACCTAAGTACGTGTGTCGCCTGGACAGTCAACCTCGCTACATTCTTGTTGACTGGGCTTCTACACTACATGAGCTGCTGTTTACATGTCGTCAACCAGGTTATAAAACTATTATGTTATGAGGTAGAATCATGTGCTACCGGTATTATTTCACATCGATGTTCAAGGTCAGTTTATGTATTGTTAAACGCAGAACTATATAAAAATATATAAAGACGCAAAAAAATAAATAAATACCATTAACCTTGACTTTAGCAGAGTTTCGTGTTTGCGGAATGTATTATAAACGGTAGCGGTTTTCGATTGACGTTTTTGCGATGCGTAGATGGCGCTGGTGATGTTTTAAAGCCATGGAAGTTTTTTTTATGACAGAATATAAAATTCATTTGGTAAGCTGTAGTTAGATAAGTTATGTGATTTAATTACATTTTATAGTTGATTAAAAGTTTAAATATACGGTCCATTTCCAAAATATAGTATTTTTTGTAAGCTATTAATAAAAGTGTGTTTTCTTTGTTAATGACGACATCTTTTCATAATAACCAACTAAACTAAAACTATCTTATGTCCTTTCTCGAGTTTTAAACTATGTCTGTACCAAATTTCACACAAATAGGTTCAGTAGTTTAGGCGTTAAGAAAAGACAGACAAGCAGACAGAGTTACTTTCGCATTTATAGTATTAGTTTGGATAATTGCTAGTCTCGGAAATCTAATTCCTAAGTATACTTTTACATTAGCTACCTAAATATAGAACTCTGAACTTCGACAATCAATATTTATTTTATTATTTATTTATTATATATTACAAAGGTAGCAATCTTATGTGCTAAGCCCCACAAAACCGTTGTAATGATAATAATAATCCCTTATACACGCTTAAAGTTCATATTTTAAACCACACACAAGCGTTTTCTTATAAAAAGTAAAAAAACACGTCTTTCGTTCCGCGCAAAGTAAATAAAAGAATATTTACCTGCAAAAAAACTATATGCCATTATCGATCTTTTTATAAGGAAACTGAAATTCTAAGAAATGATACAGTTTTTCAGCTATGAAAAAAGTGTATGTACTGTAGGTTCTTTTCTTACAATATTTCTTATGTCGAGAGCAAAGATCGATATGGGTTTTAGATCATCATCATCATCAGCCTGCAAGTGCCCACTCCTGAGCAAAGGCCTCTTCTCATACGGAGAAGGTTAGAGCATTAATCACCACGCTTGCTCAATGCGGGTTGGCGATTTCAAAGTTATAATTAGATATTATAAGTTCAGGTTTCCTCACGATGTTTACCTTCACCGTATGTCAGTGGTGTCTACATAATCATAGAAAGTACATATAACTCGGAAAACGTCACATTGGTACTTGCAGGTTTCGAACCCACACCCTCATGCATGAGAAGCGGGCTCCTTAACCTCCGGGCCACCACGACATATCTTGGGTTTGGGTTTTAGATACTTTGTCAAAAATAAATCGTATCGACTTTCCCATTCAATGAAAATTCGCATTTCTAATCCCCTCCTAAGTTCCCCTCCTAAATGGGTTGCATTGTCTTGAGTAATACCACGGCCTCACATCAAACCGGCGTGAAACAATCACAGCGTTGTTTCGCCATGTGAGTGAGGTTACCGGAGTTCTCCCCCTATCCCTAAATCTTGAAAACCCTAATCTCTGAAAAGCTCGCTACCCACTCGTATGGCCTCTGGTTTTGGGTGTCCATGGGTAGCGCCGTCTGCTCGTTTCAAAGTCAAAGTCAAAATCATTTATTTCAATAAGACCCTTACAGGCACTTTTGAACGTCAAACAAGTCTTAAAGATAGAAAGTGTCAGTCTGTCGGTCAGTCCTTTTAGTGCAGCCATTTGCTCGTTCCAAAGTGTAGATTACGATGGATAAGTATACGTATATATTCTAATATTAAGGAAATAGATATGCTAAATCGATTTGTGCATATTTATGTGTAAGCAGTCACCTGTATAATTATTATCAACTGTAAATTTTGTCAATATGAACAAAACTGTTTTATATTACTAGTATTGAAGTGCAGAATTCTTGGTAAAACTTAGGACTCAGTATAACATGCAAATAACTTAACTACATAGTATAAAACAAAGTCGCTTTCTCTGTCCCTATATCCCTATGTATGCTTAACTAAACATGAACAACACAAGAAACCAAAAATGTGCAGGAAGTCTCTATTCCACGCAAACAATGTCGCGGGCAAAAGCTAGTTACTAATAAACAATAGATCTTACATTTTTGTATGCTTTAAAATCTAATTTTCTAAAACGAAAAACATCCAAAAACAATACCCGATCTGAAAACAGAAGCCCAATACAAAAATTGCATACATAACACAAATAAGTTACTACGACGAAAAAAAATATTCCAAACAGGATTCGAACTGCTGACCTCGAACGTTGACTCTCGTAACTGGAGCATTGTATGTATAATTATCGAATTATATAAAAATAAATGTAAGAATAACAATAATATCCCAATAGTATTAGCGTTGGAAAATTACCGAGTGACAGATAACGCACGCTTTGTTTAGTTGCGCATGCGCACGTCGCTCCGCCATCTTGTTTTAGGCAATAAACTTATAAGCCTATGATTTACGATTGTGTGTGAAATTTACGACACGTGCCAAGGATTATTATTGATTAATTAGGCTTTGTCCCACGGCTGCGTTTGAGCATTGAAATATATTTCCTTTCTCCTTTTAACTGCATAGAAACTGAAAGAGATGCACTAATAAATTTTAACCCCCACTTTTCACCAGTGTGTTTTTTGAGTCCCATGTGTTAGGGGGATGTTTAAAGTCATATACCAAAAAGAAGTAAACTTCTTGCAAAATATAGTTTTTTTAAAGCCAAAAATTTCGGCCTATTTTGAGACCTGAACTGGTGAACAGGGACCCAAGATGTGATAACTTCTCAGACAGTCGTATTTACAATTTCGTGGATGTTATTATACATATAAACCTTCTTCTTAAATCACTCTAGTTACTACAAAAAACTGCATCAAAATCCGTTGCGTAGTTTTCAAGATTTAAGCGTACATAGGGATATAGAGAAGAGAAAGCGACTTTGTTTTTTACTATGTAATGATAACCAACTAATATTTTTCTTTCTTTTCATTCCAGTGGTGGTCTATCCAACTTCTTGTACTATATAGCTCTTCCTGATGACGTGTCTAAATGGGGGGGCTACCAGAAGCGGGAGAGCTCGCCAGAAACAGACCCTGAGAACGTTGACAATAAGAACCTTAGGAGGAATCTGGTCAAGAGCACCTCCTTCTCCATTGAGGAACCTAGAAAGGTGAGTTGAAATAGATCAGCAAACGAGCAGACAGATTACCTGATGGTAAGCAACCGGCGCCGCTCATAGACACTGATAATACCTAAGGACTTACTACAATGTGGACGGTTAGGGATTTAAGGGTAGGGGATTTAGTTTTAGAGGTTAGAGGATATCTGGGGGGGGAGGGGGGAGGATTGGGCCAAAGTTTGAAATCGCCAATCTGAATTGAGCAAGCGTGGTTGTTAATGCTCAAAACTGTGTGAGAAGAGGCCTTTGCTCAGCAATGAGCACTTATAGATTGATGATGTGATGATGGTGACTTTTATCACCGACGACAGTCCATTTTGGATCTGGCCTTAATATCCAATCTACACACTTGGCATACGTACACTCAGCTGCAGAGAAAAAGATCCCCCTATGCAGATAGCTGCATACATATTTGATCGGTATTGTTCGTCGGACAACTCAACAGCACTAGCTATACTGGTTGCAAACTGACACTTGCGTGCCTGTCTTCACAACGGGTCCACTTAAACTGGTGTGGTTCTTTCCTCAAAAGACCACTACAGAATGAACTTGCACGGTTCTCTCACATTATGTTATTTTATATTGTCTGGACTTGAAAAGAGACTGACCTCTGAGTTTGTTTCGGCATTTCTTCTCAGAGTAGTCAGATAGGAAATGCCGGCTTCATCTAGTTTTTCACATATAATTTGACGTGTAAAAGTGCCGTTTTATGGCCTATTTGCAAAAATAAATTCATTGTTTCATTGTATTTGGACTTCAGGGGGGTCCATTTCTCTGCAGCTGACCGTAAATATTGGCGATCACAGTTAAAAAGGTTCAGTTTTATCAGGGAGCGGTTCTGTCTGGTTTCTGTTGATCTGGTAGTCCTGTAGTCGACCCATGCTGATATTTCTAAACGCCTCATCATACATTGCCTCCTCTCTTCAGGTTTTACTAAGAATCTACGGCCAAGTTCACGGTGAGCGCGCAATGGATGCCATCGTCACCGAATCTGTGATCTTCACGCTTTTATCAGAGAGGAGACTTGGTCCAAAGCTACATGGCGTCTTCTCCGGTGGCAGAATCGAACAATATATACCTGTAAGTTATTTTATATATAGTTCTTTATATTTCTATATATCTATTTATAGTATTTTGTTATCGGATGCGTGTGCGCAGGTTTTAAGTCGGTTTTTAGTTTGTTTAGTGATGTATACAGTGGTTTTATTGGAAATTGGAATATATATTTTTACTTGAACGGGAATGTAGTTTCAGAATGATTAAAGATTAGGAGTATCTCTGTAATAATAATTATTTTTGATAGTTTTTGAGTTTAGGTTGAAAAAAAAAATTCTTTCCATATTTCATTTTTTTTTTTTAATATTGGTGTTATAAAGGGCTTAAATCTAGACATAATATGGACCCTGTTAAGACACAGCAAAAGAAGGCTTAATTAAGTTTAAGTATATACTCAGGTACAATAATAGGTATTCGATATTAGGTATTAACATTATTTTGTAATTTCAAACTTATTCTATTGGTAAGTATTTGTGGAAAACTCGGTATGTTGTAGAGATTTGAACTCTATCAGAAATACATCATCAAAAATTAAATTTGTGGCGGCAAACTAGCTCATTCGAAAAGTTTAATATTTCTGCATTTTGAACCTTAATTACTAGGATTTTAGAACGGGTTTTCTCATGATAGATGATGTTTTTGGGGATTAGTATTTTTAGTATAGAGCATTTAATTAATATTAGTGTTAATTTTATTGAATTAACAAAGCTACGATCACTTATAAATATTTATTTATCTATATAAAAACTTAAACGAATATAAAAACTGTATGGTTGATCCCTATTGGTTGACGAATCGTATGTTCGGCATGAAAAGCCGGTAATTGGGTATTTCTGCTAGGAAATTCTCAGTTCCAGCGGTATGACCGGCTTTCGGCTGGGGCCTTATACCGGACGGCGCAGTACTTTCACGGAAACGACGCGTGGTATGTAATTTGACATTTAATGTCTAAGCAATAACGACGTATTTTGTTTGTAGTGATATATTGACGTTGGATTCTTTTACTGTCCTCTAAGAAGGACGAAAGCAAATTATATGTATGCTGTATTTTTGTTAGGTTTCTTGAAGTTTTAATCCATATTACATGGGAATCATTACATAACGGATAATAGGGTTGTATTTATATGAGCATTTCTGCTTACCCCTTTATGGCATTGAAAGCCTTATTTAAGTATTTGACTGCCGACAAAAACTGTTGAAGACACGTCCTCCGCTAAAGATGCTCAAATTAAAAAAAAAATAAACATTGATAGTGTTGACAGTAAATGAAAATATATTTCTTAGAGCATAGTTGGTCTATATGGTCTCTAAATGTCAATTTCGTCACTATTTATCTCTCTTATGAAAGAGAACATCAACAAAAGAACTTTCTGATTTTTCTTAACCTTTATGGTCTTGCAGTATCTTAGTCAACTATATGCCAACAAAAATAACCAAAAGAAAAAAATTAAGCAAAAAACACAAATTTAAACTCCACCCAACACAGAAATAGGATCGATTTTCTATTATCACTCCCGACTCCATTCTCCCTTTGGTCTACTGAATAAAAAGACCGGTATACTCGTCTCCCCTCGGTCTACTCAACTAAAAGACCCGGTCTACTCCACAGGCAAGGTGTCTACTGACAAAAGAACTAGCAGACCCGGCGTTGTCAATGAAAATTGCTGAAAAAATGGCAGCTATACATTCAATGGAGGTTCCTCTGAATAAGGAACCCAACTGGATCTGGAAGACCATGTACAAATGGCTGAAGACTGTGAAAGAGGAGAGGCTGAGCAATACTGGTCAGGGAAAGGTAAATATATCAAACTATACTGGTTGAATACTGACACTTGCGTGCCTGTCTTCAGAACGGGTCCACTTAAACTGGTGTGATTCTTTCCTCAAAAGACCACTACAGAATGAACTTGCACGGTTCTCTTACAATATATTATTTTTAACATTGTTTGGACTTTAAAAGAGACTGACCTCTGAGTTTGTTTCGGAATTTCGTCTCAGAGTAGTCAGATAGGAAATTCCGGCTTCATCTAGTTTTTTACATATAATTTGACGTGTAAAGGTGCCGTTTTATGGCCTATTTGCGAAAATAAATTCACTGTTTCAGTTCAAGTTCTGGAGATCTTCATATTATATAGTGTATAGAGAAATAATAGTATTTTCTATGGAATAAGTCGGCAAACGGATGCACGGTGCAGACGGATTACCTGATGGTAAGCAATCGGCGCTCCATGAACACTTGCAACACCAGAGGAGTTACAAGTCCTTTGCCTGCCTTTCGGGATAAGGGTTTTGGAGATTTAGGGATTGGTTAGAGATGGCGGGGATACGTAACGACATTAAACATTACAATAGCACGAACCGAACTTATATCTCTATTTCTCGGGCCTTGTGGTCATGTCTCTCTCTCATTTATACCGCGCTCTCGCTTACGTAACGCGACAGTCAACATAACGGGACGATGACGTCACATCAATAAACTATAGATACTAATTAATGTACTTTTTAAATCTTCTAGAACGAACAAGAGCAGCGTATTATCCAGCAGTTGAAGAATACGGATCTGGAAAAAGAAATAGAATGGTTGAAGAAGTTCCTCGCTACTGTCGATTCTCCCGTTGTGTTCTGCCACAATGATATGCAAGAAGGTAAGTTATAGTTAATTAATATAAAATAGGAGGCCCAATCCTTCCCCTCCCCCAATCCCTCCTCAATTCCTAAATCTCCAAATCCCTAATCCCTAAAAGGTCGGCAACGCACTCGTAACTTCTCAGTTGGGAGTGTACATGGGCGGCGCTGATTGCTTACCATCAGGTAATCCGTCTGCTCGTTTGCCGACCTTTCACATAAAATTAAATAATAATAATAATAATAAGTTTAAAAGACTTGTAAAAGAGTAGGTATTATCTAGCGCTATAGACTACTGTCACACACGCACATTCACACACTCACACACACACACACACACACACACACACACACACACACACACACACACACACACACACACACACACACACACACACACACACATATTTATACATATTTCTTTACCTAGTATACAATGTATTCTACTTGGTGTAAAAAAAAAATATAAATTAATAATATCTTGACTTTCAAAGATCTGGTGGTCCTTACCTGAGTATCTTAGACAGAGATTTTTCTGAGACTATATTGTAGTTATTTTTTTATGTAATAGTTCGGCAAACGAACAGACGGATTACCTGATGGTAAGCAATCAGCGCGTTGCCGACCTTTTAGGGATTAGGGTTTTGGAGATTTTGGTAAAGGGAACGGATTGGGGTAGGGGAAGGATTGGGTCTCTGGTGGATTGGACCTTTGTTGTACACTTTTTGGATTTCAGTTGACACGATACTATGACACCTATTGAAATATAATAAATCACTACATAGTATAAAACAAAGTCGCTTTCTATGTTCCTATATCCCTATGTGTGCTTCAATCTTTAAAACTACGCAACGGATTTTAATGCGATTTTTTTTTTAGATAGATTGTCAAAATCAAAGTCAAAAATAATTTATTCCAATTAGACCTTTACAGGCACTTTTGAACGTCAAACAAAATTTTGAAGATATAGTGTCAGTCTGTCGGTCAGTCCTCTTAGTGAAGCTATTTGCTCGTTCGAAAATGTAGATTCCGATGGAGAAGAATGAGCAAGAAACTCCTAAAACGAGCAAAAAAATTGATTGAAGAGAAATGTTTATACCTATAATAACAGCTATTAAATAGTTGAGAAATTTAGTATCAGCATTGCATAAGAAGCCCCTAGTCGCTAGTTATTTTTTTCACTTCAATTCCAACACTAAGACCACAATTTTTCAACTGCCAACACTGAACCCAATATTATTGTCAACAGGCAACATCCTACTCGTCGAAGACACGCAAACGGCCGCAGATGACGATGTCTCACAAATGTATGTTCAAAGTTTCGAATCAGATGAAAATCGTACAGGAAAGAACGGCAGCATTGACAAGGACCACTTCGATTCCCAGTTTGAGGACGCTAATACTTCTGACACAGTTTTAAGCCACATGTCCGATTGGGGCGAGCCAAAATTGGTCCTTATTGATTTCGAATATTGTGCTTATAATCATCGGGGATTTGATATCGCCAATCATTTCCAAGAGTGGGCGTTTGACTATACCAATCCTGAACATCCGTTCTATTACGAAAATCAGGACTGCACGCCGAGTTTGGAGCAGAAGGTATGTTTTTTTTACTATCAATCACCCTTTAAGTGCTTACTTCTGAGTGAAGGCCTCTTTTTTTCTCTATATGAGAAGATTTGAGCATGGTTTTGCTCATGTTAATACTTGAGTCTGACACTCCCTCTTCCCTACGATCGGATACGGATCCCCGCGAGACAAAATTTATTATCTGTTGCCATATATACTGATATTCAACCGTTTAATAATGTATACCAACTGTATAAAAAACGGTTTTCATTCAAAAAATATTACTAACTAACTACTCAATCGATTTTAAATCAAGGTTAATAACCTGCATTAAGTACATCTTCGTGTGAGTAGTTTAAGTTTAGTCGAAATCGGTTTAGTAGTTTCCATAGTTTTGAACTACAAAGATGCATGGTTAGAGACAACTTAATTTGGAATAGCTTGCCTGCAATGGTCTTCCAGTCCAGTCATGATTTAGGTGTCTTCAAGGCTAGAGTGAATAGGCTCTTAATAAACTAGTGCGCCTTACCATCAACGATTGCATCACTGCTTAAGTGCTTAAAAATTACAGTTACTGGGTAACCGTACCAAGTATCGCAGGTTCGAACCCCGCACAGAACAACACTGTGCGACCCAAAAATTATTGTTCCAATTTTGAGTGTGTATGTGAAATACGGTAGTTTCCAACTAGTCAAATTCAATACTGTTATCCAAATGTTAAAAACAATACTTTTCTATGAAACTTGTATGAAAAACTGAGTTATGACGTCATAGTATTTTTGCGTCAAATAGCGTACTTACTTTTTAAAAATTAGCTAAAAAATATCGAAAATTTAGTGTATCGATCGATAGATGAAAAAAGTATAGTTATTTTTTCAATATATAATTTTATTGAAACGTCGAATTAATTTATTACTTTCGAATAGTTAGTTAGTCTCAAATTTTGTTCTTGTTCACAGGAAATATTCATACGTGAGTACCTAAAACATTATCAAGCGAATGTCTCAGACAAGACCGAGGTCAGTTTGGACGATGTCAATAAGCTGCTGGATGAGGTCGAAGCGTTCGCACTGGCCAGCCATCTGTTCTGGGCTCTCTGGTCGATAGTCAACGCGTCAAAAAGCCAGATACCCTTCGGTTATTGGGTGAGTATTGGAAAAATTCCTAGGTCTTTTTTTTATATGTGATATGTCGGCCAACGAGCAGACGGATTACCTGATGGTAAGCAATCAGCGCCGCCCATGGACTTCTACGACAACAGAGGAGTTACGAGTGCTTAACCGACCTTTTGACGATTAGGGATTGGGGGAGGGAAAGGATTGGGCCTCCGGTAACCTCACTCATACAGCGATACTCAACGCTGTAGTTTTTTCACGCCGGTTTTCTGTGAGGCCGTGGTATCACTCCGGTCGAGCTGGCCCATTCGTGCTGAAGCATAGTTCTCTCACAGTTTTAACTCAAAAAAGTTGTTTTATTTAATCGTCAAAATGATATACCAACAATAGTTTCAATTTTGGAATACTTTTTATAAGTTTTTCATGGTATTTGGCGTAAGATTAAATCTACGGATCATCTGGCGGTAAGCAATCGGCGCCGCCCATGGACTTCTGCAAGCGACAGAAGTTAGAAGTGCATTTTCAACTTTTTGGAGATGGTACAAGTATTGGGCCCCTAGTAACCTCCAGTGATGCTAGTTTTCTTGAATATAATAAGTCGAGGCTCACATCATCATCAGCCTGTAAGTGCCCTGAGCAAAATCCTCTTCTCACACGTAGACTGTTTCAGCATTAACTCCTGCTCGAGTCGAATTTTCGATTTGAAACTTATAATTAGAAATTACTGGTCCAACTTGCCACACGATGTTTTCCTTCACCGTATGTCAGTGGTGTCTGAATTATCATAGAAAGTATATATTACTCAGCAAAAGTCACATTGGTACTTGCCAGGTATTTCATCCTTATGCATCAGCAGCGAAGTTTTCCCTATTTTCTTTATGTAATATGTCGGCAAACGAGCAGACGGATTACCTGATGGTAAGCAATCAGCGCCGCCCTGGACACTCGCAACGGAGGGGCTACGAGTTCGTTGCCGACCTTTTAGGGATTAGGGATTTGGAGATTTAGGGATTGAGGAGGGATTGGGGGAGGGGAAGGATTGGGCTCCGGTAACCTCACTCACACGGCGAAACACAACGCTGTGGTTATTTCACGCCGGTTTTCTGTGAGGTGTGTGACTAACGACTAACAAAATTCTTGATTTCCAGGAATATGCTGTATCAAGACTAGACACCTACCTGAGGCTAAAACTGGAAGTCATCAAGAAAGACAAATATGGACTCCCCCAAAAGAGGAAAATATGTGAGGTCGACATATGAGAGGGGTTGGGAGGCCTCGCGCTGTAGACCCCACAAGTCACTCCGGCGCAGAGCTATTTGGACCCCGCTAGGTCCAGACCCCGGTCAAGTAAGACCCCGTAGAGTTTGACCCCCCGAATTTGAGTTTTTAACTCTTGAGATGGACGTTTTTGTTCGTAATGGACATTCTGGACTGTCTTCAAAGGTCTGTGTATATTTTGGGAGTGTGATTCCAGTGTGGATTTCTACCCAGTCCATTCCGAAATTGGGTAGTATATGAGTTCTGGGTGTAAATAATATTATAAAAACTGATTTTTGATTCCTTGCATACAGTATTCCTTAGAGAAATAGGTTTTTTAACCAGTTTTTTTGGACCCCCTAAAGGTCCAAAATTGTGTACGGGACCTAAAAGTCCTTTGTTATGAATGCTTATAGTTTTTTCAGTACAGTTGGCAACACAGGTTTTGTTAAATCTACCAAATTATTTTGTTATTTGTATTTTATGTTGTTTAGAATACAAATGAGATTTTTTTGGATATTCAACACCAAAAATACTTTTGTTGCTAACTGTACGTTTTCCATATGAGATCTGCATATCCTTATTAGATAAGTATGCTTGATGTTATCGAAGCTATTTGAGATTCCCTCGAATCGTTATTATAAGTACAAACGATGTTTGAAAAATGACTGAAATGTAAGATTTGAGATATATTGAGCGATTCGGGCGACGAATATTCCGAGTTTGAAAGTCGGACGGACTCGGAAAGTTGTGTACTTAAGTTTTTTTTTTGAAAAAGTTGGTCAACTGTTGCCCGATTTTTTGTGTTTTTTAATTCTTATCCGTGTCAACTTAGGAACACAATGAAGCGAACCTTCTTTATGATTTCCTATGTTTTTTTACGTCGTCAACAAAGTTGCTCGTCTAAGCAACTAAATTGAATTCCAAACAAAATTATGAACAATGTAGTAAAACTAAAATTTAAATACCAAATTCATATTTTAATATTAAAGGTAAATACAAAAAAAGTTGCTCAAAAGTTGCCTACGAATCGCCCAATGTAGATTTTGTCTTAAGTAAATTGGATATGTTGCTAATCAATAAGAGATCTCTAAATTACCAAAAAAAAAGTTATAAAAAATCCAAAAAAAAAACGAAATTGCCGATTAAGGAATATTTATAGTACTGCTTATTTATTTATTAAAAACTATTGTAAAAAGTTGTTATTGAAAAAAAATTTATAGAGTTTAATTACTTTTTAAATTTTTGGGTGATAATTTTAAACTGGTGTTTTTAGCTACCGTTATATAAGTTGGTAATAAACTTATGTGACACATAGGTACTTACTATGTTTTGGTTTTTAAGATAAACGTTGCCTTACAATAGGATTTTCTCCTGTGTCGTGGGTGCGTTTACAAACGTACAATTTGACATACACATCACACTCAGACCCAGAACAACAATTTGTGGATCACACAAAGAGTTGTTCCGTGCGGGATTCAAACTCGCGTCACGTTGCACGGCAGCCAGTCGCCCAGCCGTACAGTTAGGTTGAAATTTATCTAGAAAATAGGCGCTATTCAGATATGCTTAAAACGTCTGTACGCAAGGAAAAAATATAAAAAATAAAATTTATGACAGAAAAAGTAACTATTTATTTATTATGCAACCGTGTATCTCACACCCATGGGAAGATTGGATTATATTATGTAATACTAGCTTTTGCCCGCGACTTCTTTCGCGTGACTTCCTGCAGATTTTTGGCATAAAAACTATCTTATGTCCTTTCTCGAGTTCCAAACTATGTCTGTACCAAATATCACAGAAATAGGTTCAGTAGTTTAGGCGTGAAGAAAAGACAGACAGACAGAGTTACTTTCGGATTTATATAATAATAGTTTGCATTATTGATACGGATAGGTGATTAATATATTCTTTTCGACTGCGTCACCCGCTTAAGGATTATTCAAACTTACAAATTAATGTAATATTGGTTTAAGATTTCACTCATAAATTTAATTAAAACCTGTATAATGATTACGTAATTATGAAAATTGTAAATAAATATAATGTTTTTGTAAATGACAAGTTTTATATAATATAATAGTTTGGATTCTGACGCGACAGCATCATAATTATTCCCCAGGTAACTTTTATCTGACCATTGAAAAATCAGACCTTTAAAAATTAAAATTCATTTTAATTCAACCCGATTTCTGCCCTGTATAATAATAAATTTCTATTTCAAAACCAATTATGTGTATTTAAACTGTGTTTATTGATGTTTGCGATATCTTTAGATTGGTTGTAAGGCGAAGAAAATGGAGTAATGACAGGATATAAAAATCTAAAATATATTTCGTCTGTTCGATAATTAAAAAATATTAGACACATTTATTTTTTGTTTTCCCAACGTTACCCAATACTAGGATTTTCTCCAGTGTCGTGGGTGCGTTTACAAACATACCAATGTCACATACACATCACACCCAGACCCGGAACAACAATTTGTGGATCACACAAAGAGTTGTTGCGAGAATAGAACTCGCGACACGTTGCGCGACAGCCAGTCGCCCAGCCAATCGTGCAGCCTAAATTATATATATAAATAATCTCATTTTGGCAGCTATACTAACGAACAAACAGACAAACACAGTATATTGGTTTTGTTATAGCAATTCATGTGTAGCTCAAAAAATTTGACAACTTAAGCTCAACTGTAAATAGCTATTTTTAGGTGTAAAGGGCGAAGTCGGTGTGTAACTTGTTTAAAAATATAAGCTGAATTTTAAGTCATTGTTTTAGAGGTCCAAAACCTGGCAAGTACCAATGTGACTTTTTCCGAGTTATATGTACTTTCTGAGTTTATTCAAAATGACTTGAATTCAGCGTGTATATAGAAAATTTTCTAGTATATAAGCGATGTGATTCTAGATATATAAGTCCGTCAAAGGAAAAGTAACAAATGAATTTCAACTAGATATGTGACATTCCTATAATAAATTAATATACACTAGTTTATAACCGCGGTTTTGTCCGCGTGTCTACCAAAAAATCTTCGTAATCCCATACATGTATGCATAATAGGGATGACGACTAAAAAATAATAATTAGCCCATCTTTTAGAACGCCAGAAAATAGGAGATACGTATTTTATCTTTTGCTTCTAAAACATAAAATAACAAAGTTACAGAGCGGCCAAAGTTCGCGCGAAAGAGTGACGTCACGAACCCCTACTCCTGAATTTGAATGTGGTGTATCTTTGTCAATATTATTCGTATGGGCAAATAAAAAAATACGTATCGAGTATTTTTCTATAATCTAACTGACTGAGTAATTAGAATCTTGTTGTTTTAACCCAGGAGACATCCCTATTACATAAAGATTCTCTGAATAGATACAGCGGAATATTACAAACAAAATTAATTTCGCATTTATATTAAACTTGCGAAACACCCCGGCTTCGCATAGATTATGTGTAATGCTAATACTAAATTTCTCCACTATCTGTCTCAATATCCTGGAGTTAGGTACACGACGATCTCAAGACCAAAATTAACAAAATCGGTCTAACAGTCCGTCTCTATCTTCTAATATTATGAGGGGAAAGTCAACAAAAGATTTCTCTCGCTCAGGCTAAGGCGAGAGGGAGTGTTACACTCTTACTGACTAAAAACCCCCTGTTCCTTCTCCTGCTCTGGGCCGAGGTCGCGGTACCTCATTGCGCTTACCCCGCAACCCCGGCTGAACATCAGCCCTATAGGGCCCCGTCTGTGGTGGTCTATTGGCTCTTTGAGGCGCGCGCGGAACGCTACGCGCCGTACGCTCGTGTGTGGTTCTGGTCAGGCGAAGAGATACCCGGATGGCCGGAGATCGTCGCTTGTTTAATATTGTACTTAAGATTATTAATTTGGGAAGACTTATAATGGGACTTATTAATTATGATAAGTGATTAACTAAGTCATAAAAGGCGGTTCATGTACTTTTATTCGGATATCGTTCTATGACATCTCCCGTCCTGACTGGAGAGGGAGTGTCAGACTCTTACTGACTAAAACTCCTGGAGCTTATGTTCTTGGATATCACCCTTTGAAAAAGAAGGGGGTGATTAGAAATGTTAAAAATCTTGGCAACTAAACTCCAATTACTAAGCGACTTTGATTTGAGATATTCTCAATAACGTATCGCTGGAGTTGTCGTATAGGTAGTTAATTACACTCGACATGACCACCTCTGCTTACCTCCCCTTTGGGGGACAGGCGTGTACAGTGCAAGGTAAATATTACCTACACATCGATATTTGGAAAGAGATAATTTTGACCGATGTAAGTATAAAACTTCGGTTTTCAATCACAGCCTGACAGAAAACTGGCGTTATACAACGCTTATGTTGTGTTTTTGAGGACCTGTTGCCTCCTAATCCTCATTTCTCAAGTGCCCAGAAGATCTGGGTAGTGCTTAGCTTACCATCAGGTAATCCGTCTGCAAGATAAAGTGCAGCCCGCGCCAAACTTTGTGACCGCCCTGAATATAGTCGCGAGTCCGAACTCTCGCATGGTACAGTCGAGCGGGCAATACGTAATCAACCAATTCTCGTTTTCTAACATTTTTAATACTGTTTGATTACTTTGAATTTTTGAAGATTATATAATTCCCTGTTTACTTTTGATAATTATGCCATGCTAATTTATAATTATATTTTTTTTTTATTTTTTGTATTGAACGTTGAGCTGTATTTTAAGTGAACCATTTAACTTAGCGTAACTTAAAGCATTATATTTGTACGCCTCTGGGCAAAACATGGAGGATCTACCCGCTTGTAACACCTCACACAATGTGTAACCCATGTTTACAAATAAAGCTTTCTGATTTCTGATTCTGATTTCTGATTTGTAGTGACATCTATCGCTCAACAATAACAACAGCACCAATCACGTGCAAGATTCTATATCGCGCTATAAGAATTCTCATCGCAATTAGAACCTATACAAAATCCCGATAACAACCGTCGGGCAGTAGCCCCAGGCACGAACACCTCGCCTGGTCGGAGGAGCCTCCCTTTTCAATTGAGGATGAGGAACTTTCCACCCTGTTTCTCATACCTCTAAAACTTATATACTAATATTGTTTGATTACGTAGGTACTGCCCACTCGACTGTACTAGCGCAAGTTCGGACTTACGACTATATTCAGGGCGGTCACAAAGTTTCGCGAGAGCTGTACTCGACAGTACCTATTAAATGTATTACTGTCCCTTTCCATAGATCGATGTGTAATATTTAGTACCAGCCACTGTAAAATACTTGTGCCTTTGATTATGATGCTTATTATTAAAGGGATAAGGTACAGATTTGTTAATATCTGACTGAGTAGGTTTTGGTGTAGAAAAATGTACTTAGGATACTAATAAGTTGACTTAATGAAGTGTTGTCGACAACTGTATAGGTAGTTGTTGGGGAAAGTTGACTGCAGTTGTTGTAAGCGACTTCTAATCCCGGATTTGATTCTCTGTTCCCTGGATATACATGTGAAAATCTTATAAATATCATTTTGTTTTTATAAGTAGCTCACATCTGGCATTAAGATCATACCAAACAATGAAATGGGTTATACTTTAAAAATCAATGTAAATAAAATATAACTAGACAAGATTTGACATTTATATTCCATGTAATAAAGTATAATTTCGCTTAACAAATTGAAAATTCACCAAAATATTGTTATCCATTAACCATAAAAAAAACCATTCCTTATTGTAAAAAAAGTTTATTGAATTTGAAAAAAATGCAATTATGTGCTTAATTGCGTTAAAAATTAAGTTTTTTATACAATAACATTGATTCTCTTATATTTTTTTGTTAACCTTAATTGGGAGAATAGTATTTAATAGTAGTTATTCTATCTCGTTCTTTCATTTGAAATAAGACAAAGATAGCAATAGTTTTCTTATTAATTTTGAAATAATATAAGGAATCAATGTTAGTATTATTTGTAATTTTTGTTTTTAAAATATTAGGTTTGTAACCTACCTGCCTACCCCTTCTGGGGCTATAAGCGATAATGGTTATAACTAATATTTTAAAAACTAAAATAAAAATAATATTATGACGGAATAATTTTACTATTAAAATAAAACTGTAAATAGTCACTTTGTGATAAAATTAAAATATTAAATAATGATTCTTTTTTTGTATACCTTAATAATTGTAATAATGATTATGTATAATATATTACATTTCATATTTTAAGTTTTTAATTTCTAATCAAAACAAATTTTTTAAATGATTGTTTTCTTTTTGGAATAAAAATAAAATACAATGTTTCGAATTATATTTTTGTCATTTTTTTTTATAACAATTATTAATATTTATTATAAGTACAATTACATTATATGTATTAAAAACATTTTGTTGAAATAACACAAAGTACCAATGACCTCAAGATCGAGCGCATTTTCTTGAAGTTTACTGATGGTAAGTAATCAGCGGCGCCCATAGACACCCGCAACAGCAAAGGTTTAATTAATGATCTAGTGATTTGGGGTTTTTCTCATGTGAAAATATGATAACATTTTTATAAAATTCTTTGACTACATACTTATCTCTATACAATGACATTAAAACTAAATAGTTTTAAACATATTTTGTTAATATCTTGACTACAAATAAACATAATTTAATCTGGGTATATACGAAATACTTTTTTTCTAGTTTAATAATATTTATAAGATTTTTTGATGGGACAAGCTCGCCAGAAACTACTGCAACTCATATGCACCAGTGGATACAACCATGAAAACACCGAAACACTGAAGTCCGCCGCGTCCCAGGGACATGAATGACTGACTTGGATCCCGCAACGAAATAAATCAGAAATATCATTTGAGGAGAAGAAAATATGAACAGCTCCTTCCCATACACTTTTCAGGAGTATTTTATGATATGTTTCAGTCCTGAATATGTAAAGAAGGTTCACAGTCCACCACTGGACTACCAAAGGTCGAATAGAGGCAAAATAAAATGGTAGCTAAAAAGTCACGCTTAAAATTTGCTATTTAGACACCACTGGTGAAGGAAAACATCGTGAGGAAACCTGGACTTATAATTCCTAATTATAAGTTTGAAATCGGTAACCGGCCTTAAGCAAGCGTGGTGGTTAATGCCGTCTCCGTGTGAGAAGAGGCCTTTGCTCAGCAGTGGCCACTTATAGGATGATAATATGATGTAAGTACCTACATATTTGAAAAGACTTTAAATAGTTTTTTTTTTGTATTAAATAACTTGTAGTTTAACTTTTATTAGTAAAACGAAATAAATCGAGAAGTTTTAAGCCGTTCTAAAGATTCAGTAAAGACTGCTCGACGGTTCTCGTGGTATGTTGACTATGAGCGTTACGTGGCTTGAAACTAGTCGTGTCAACTCGTCAAACTATATCTGTATTTTTTTTTTGGTAGTAGGTCTAATTTCATTGTCTACCAGATTACTTAAAAGGGACCCTTTTTCAAAATATATCTCATATTAATTTATCGGTTACTTTATATCAATGATGTCTGTGATTGATAGCAGACTGGCTTACGGATAACTTGATGGTAAGCAATCGGCGACGCCCATGGACATCCGAAACACTAAAGGATTTATGAGTAGGTTGCCGGTCTTTTGGGGATTAGGGTGCGTTGATTTAGAGATTGTGGGAGGGTAAGAAAGATTGGCCCTCTGATATCCTCACTCACACGGCGAAACACAACGCTGTGGTTGTCACACGCCTGTATTCTGTGAGGCCGTGGTATCACTCCGGTCGAGCCGACCCATTCGTGCCGAAGCATGGCTCTCCCACACTTAATAGAAACTCATCTTTATCAGTACGCAGTAAAAATTATACATTAGTAATCGAGCACTGTAGTTTCGGAATTCCCAAGGTTTTATTTGATTGTTAAATATGTATCTTTGGTCTTATTGATATTATTTTTGTATATAAGGACTCGAGCAGATCGTATGCTTATACGCATACCGTGCAAGTATCAAGTTGTAATACATATTATTACTTATTTCTTTATTAATTTTAAAACTTGATTTTTACATTTTTAAATATTTTCATAAAACAAAAAAAAAACAATTAAAAATATAAAAAGTAGTATCCCACCGGTTACGGGAGGGTTCCAAGCAACCGGTGGTCAGGGTTCCAGAGAAAGGAATCTCCGGACAATGCGCGCCGTGTCTAGAAGTACAGCTTTCTGCATCAGATTCTTGACCCAACCATCTAACGTAAGCCTGCTTAGGTGTTTATCAAGGCTTTTAGCCATGAGACCATTGGCAGACACGACTATCGGCACAATGATTACTGAGTCTACATCCCACATGTCGTAAATCTCATGAGCTAAATCAAGATATTTACTTGCTTTATCTTACTTATTATTATAAGGAAGGAATTTAGTAGATAACAAATAAATTTGAATACACTTATTGAATTAAAAAATCTAGATTTTTCTATGATTTTTGTACGAATAGTATTGTGACATCATTGATGGAAAACTATAGAACCGCCCCGGCTTTTCAAAATTTTGATTAAATTTAAATTTCTCCAGAATTTTGGTAATATATGTACTTTTATTCATCAATCTGCCGATACACAAAATTTTCGATATTTTTTTAAGTGACAACTTTTCTCCATATGTCACAGGCTATACTTTTCTATGAAATTTGTATGAAATACTGAGTTACAACGTCATAGTATTTTATGCGTCAAATAGTTAACTTATATCTTAAAAAAATGCTAAAAAGTATCACTAAAGAAAGTGTATTGATCGATCGATGAATAAAAGTATTTATTTTTCAATATTTTATTGCATTGTGACGTGAAACCAATTTGGAGTTTCATAAAAATTTCATAGAAAAATATCGTTTTTGACATTTGGATAAAATTATTGAATTTGACTAGTTGGAAACTACCGTATTGGCTTAGACACGACACACTGATTGCGTAACTTAAACTTACGCGTTCACGTTAAGACTCTTAAAGAGACTTGGTAGGTACAAGTATACGGTCTGCCCAAGACTTATTATTATTAAGAAGACGCGATATTACATTAAAAACTAAATATGATACATGGTTAAAAGACATTGACTTATGACCCTCATATATCGCTCCCAAACGCTCTTCAGATCGGCTTCTCTGAAAAAGAAGAATAATTGTCAATAAGGAGCTAAGTCGCGTTTAATTTTAAGGTAGCCTCATCATCATCATCATTAGCCTAATGTCGTCCACTGCTGGACATAGACCTCCTCAACTCACGCCACTGAGCTCGATGTTCAGCTCTTCTTATCCAACCACTGCCAGCCTTAAGGATATCGTCATTCCACCTAGCTGGAGGGCGCCCTACACTACGTTTGCCTAGACGCGGTCTCCACTCTAGAACACGTTTACACCAACGGTCATCGGTTCTTCGACAGATGTGACCTGCCCACTGCCACTTCAGTTTGCTAATCCTTTGGGCTATGTCGATAACTAGGGTCACCTGATGGTAAGCAATCAGCGCCGCAAATGGACACTCGCAACATTAGAGGAGTTATGAGTGCGTTGCCTGCGTAGATTAGGGTTTTGGAGATATTGCCAGTAAGGTACCGCGACCTCGGCCCAGAGCTGGAGAAGGAACGGGGGGGGGGGGGTTTAGTCAGTAAGAGTCTGACACTACCTCCCGCCCAACCCAGGGAACGGAAACAGTCATTTGATGGTTTTCTGGTCAGATTTCTGTGAGGCCGTGGTATCACTCCGGGTGTAGCCAACCCATTCGTGCCGAAGCATGGCTCTCCCACACTTAATAGATAGAATGTCCCTATAAGCGTGCAGTAAAGATTATACAAGTTGGATAATATTTTTTAGGACTACTTGTTTCTGTAATTGGCTCCGACCAAAGTAAGCGAGTGAAAACTAACTTATATATGTTATTCCAGACTATTATATATATTTACTATCTATCTCTGTGCCAAATTACATTCAGATCCGTTCAGTAGTGTTTACGTGAGAGAGTAACAAACATCCATCCGTACTTACACACTTCGCTTTTATAATATTAGGGCTGATTTTTTCAATGGTTAGATAAAAGTTACCTGGGGAATAATTATGATGCTGTCGCGTCACAATGTTTGTATAAGACAGTGACAGCAACAATTTTATTCCTCAGATAACATTTATCTGACTATTGAAAAATCAGGCCTTAGTAGGATTTTTTAACTTTTTTTTTGTGAGTGGAAAATCATCAAATGACTTCTCCCCCTTACTGACTATAAACCCCCCCGTTCCTTCTCCTGCTCTAGGCCGAGGTCGCGGTGCCTCATTGCGCTTACCCCGCAACCCCGGCTGAACATCAGCCCTATAGTACCCCGTCTGTGGTGATCTATTGGCTCTTTGAGGCGCGCGCGGAACGCTACGCGCCGTACGCTCGGGCCTGGTTCTGGTCGGGCGGCGAGCTGCCCTTACTCGCCGACCGCAGACTAGGGGTCGCAATACCGAATCATTTAAGCAAAACCGGTATTTTCGGTATTGGCTTCAGACCAATACCGATAATCCGGTATTTTCGATATTTCTGGGATTAAGCTAAAGTAAGCAAATTAAGTATTATAAAGTTAGCTTTTGGACGAAAAGTAAGTAGCATGTACAACCTAAATGAATTTATCTTCTAAATAAAACAAAATTTTCATTGAGAAAATTCCTCAGAATCCTAAATCACCGCATAAAATCTGGCCGGTCAAGTTTAAGTTATCCAGATAGACTGCTAAAATTTAATTTTCAGCCATTAGAAAGAAGGCGCATATTTTTCGACTTGGTTTATCTTTATAAAATTACCAACTCTATTATAGATTCTTCGAAATTAATCTCTTCGCTCTACAAATTTACAAAAACAATATATCTTTCTATAACCCTTTGACCAGGATGGCTCGCCAATATAATGAAATGGCAAAGAGCAATCACAAACTTTTGACATATTTAATTACAGTATTAATAAATTCATCTCAGATATAAAAGGTATTCTCCATTGTCGATCTGGTGTGGATTCTTCAGGCCCGGGAAACTGTGCCTGAAGGATCTTAATCAACCCATATATTTGTTGAGAGGCAACAGTGTTGACACACGTCACTTTATGTTTTCTAGTTTCTACTTCTTGTTTCTTTTTGTCTCTTTTTGAGCTTTTTTAATACTTAAAACTTGTGATTTTGCAGTATGCACATATTGTTACGTTACTATCTAGATCAAAACCTTTAGTTTTTAAGCTAATAATATTTGATTGTAATGTGTTCTGTGCATGAAATAAATAAATAAAAATAAATAAATTGACACAAGGTTTATTATTTGATATGTTGGTAATCAATTAATCATTCAGTTAGTTCTTAGCAATAATTTGCTAATACTAAATGCCCTTTTATTCCTTTATTAAAATAACTTAGGTTAACTAGTTCAAATACTTTAATTAAATGTAATGTAGTGTTTGACTAGGAAGTAGGAATCACTTCTAAAAGTAAAATGTCTATCAAACTTAAACATCTCACAACAGTCTCAACATAAACAAAAAAAACCAAAAAAATACACTTCTAAACATAAAAGCATCTCATAAAACATAAAAGCATCTCATAAAACATAAAATTAAATCTTAGATGGTTTACTAATCATCAAATAATATTCTAATTAACAAAACAATAAAAATGCTTAAATTAAATTCAGTCCAAATCAAATTGAGTTATATAGAGGTAATCAAAATATTATTAAATTTCTATTAAATTTTTGGTTGAGCCTTGTAATGGCGTAATTTGAATTAAAAGGCGCGTAACTTTTTCTATTTGAATTTGTTTTTTATTTATTTTACTAAAACCGAAAATACCGAATATCCCGGTTTTTGTGATATGAATACCGGTATTAATTAGACCTAAATTTGGCCCGGTATTCCGGTATTTTCGAAATTCGGTATCCCGGTTTGCGACCCCTACCGCAGACCCGTGCTTACGGTGGCCGGAGATCGTCCCTCGAAGGATTTTTTACCTTAAGACGTCCATTTGTAGCGCACATTGTTCGTATGCGCAAAGAAATTGCGCAAGATCTGTCTTCGGCCAAGATCCCAACCTGAGAGGCTCCACACATCTATAATAAAAGAAACTCATATCAAAACAGAACTATGTAACAAAAGTTGTTATTTCAAAATTGAACCTTATTCACATCATGATCAGCCTATAAGTGCCCACTGCTGAGCAAAGGCCTTTTCTCACACGGAGAAAATTTGAGCATTAACCACCACGCTTGCTCCAAGCCGATTGGCGATTTCAAACTTATAATTAAAAATTATAATTCCAGACTAGATTACACAGATTAGACAGATTTTGACTAGTTGGAAACTACCGTATTGTACCAAACCAACAAACGCGGCGACGCAGCCTTAACGTCGCGTCAGCGCGGCGTCGACGCTGCGCAAACGCGACGTTGACGTCAACGCTAGTAAAATGCATAGTGGGATAGCAGCCTTAATGTTTGCCACGCGATGACGCAACGTGAGCGTCGCGTCCACGCAACGTTGACGCTGCGTCGTCGTTCGTAAAACGCCTAGTGGTATAGCGGTCTATAAATAATTAAAAATCATCGAGATTGCTTTGAGAAAACCCACTCACCTCTCTAAAAGGTCGATGAACAAGGACCTCAATTCTCTACCGCGATGCAGGTTGCAAGCAAGGCCGACCAACGCGCGTGTGTATAGTCTACAAAAACACAGAAAATATTACATTCAAAATTTCGTAAGACAAAATATTAAGTGTGGGAGAGCCATGCTTCGGCACGAATGGGTCGGCTCGACCGGAGTGATACCACGGCCTCACAGAAAACTGGCGTGAAGTAACCATAGCGTTGTTGTTTCGCCGTGTGAGTGAGGTTACCGAAGGCCCAATCCCTCCCCCTATCCCCAATGCTTCCAAATCCTTAAATATCCGAAACCTTTATCCCTAAAAGGGCGGAAACGCACTCGTAAATTATTGCGTTGTTGCTGATGTCCATTAGCAGCTCCGATTGCTTACCATCAGGTAATCTGCCTTCACGTTTGTAAAACTATAACTTAAAAAAAATTTGAGAGGAGGAGCAGACTTCTACGGATCAGAAAGTTTATTTCGCTGTCGCTTTCTCTGTCCCTATATCCCTATGTACGCTTAAATCTTTAAAACTACGCAACGGATTTTGATGCAGATTTTTTATAGATAAAGTGATTGAAGAGGAAGGTTTATATGTATAATAACATCCATTAAATAGTTGAGAAATTTAGTATCAGTATTACACCCGAGCGAAGCCTGCGGGAGTCGCTAGTAAGTAATATAAGTTAGCTAAATTCTCACCTGAAATTCAGTTCGAGCTCTTGATAAGACTTCTCCAATAACTTCGGCCGAAGACGCATGCAGATTAAACTGTAAACAAAAGATAAACAATTAATATTTCAATATTGTTTAAGAATGATAGAAGTATGGAGGACACCAAAAACTCTAAAAAATTCCGAAACCCTTATCTTGAATTCCGCAAACAATGAAACAATGAATTTATTTTTGCAAATAGGCCATAAAACGGCACTTTTACACGTCAATTTATATGTGAAAAACTAGATGAAGCCGCCATTTCCTATCTGACTACTCTGAGAAGAAATGCCGAAACAAACTCAGAGGTCAGTCGGTCAGTCGGTCAGTCAAAGGTCGACAAAGCAGTTGTAATTTTTTTTGTGATTGCTTACCATCAGGTAATCCGTTCATTTGCCGATCTACCGCATTAAAGTGTGGGAGAGCCAAGCTTCGACACAACTGGGTCGGCTCGACCGGAGTGATATTACGGCCTCACAGAAAACCGGCGTGAAACAACCGCAGTGTTGTGTTCCGCCGTGTGGGTGAGGTTACCGGAAGCCTAATCCTTCACCTCCCCCAATCCCTAAATCTCCAAATCCCTAATGCCAAAAGGTCGGCAACAGGCCGAGGCCGCAGTACCATGTTGCGCTCGCACCTGCAATCCTGACTGAAAACAATCACGCGTTGTACAAAAACTGTCACCCATCCAAATCCTAACCGCACAATTTTGCTTAACTTCAGATGAGTCGAACAAGACCCGGTGCTTTCAACATGGTATGAAAGTTGACATGGTAAGAAATATATTTTTTTCAATGGGACAAGTCCGGCACAACGTCCCAAAACCGCTGCAACTCCTGTGGACCAGGATCTACAGTAGATACAACCATGAAAACTCCGAAACACTGAAGTCCAGCGCGTCCCAGGGACATGAATGACTGTCTTGGATCCCGCAACGAAATAAATCCGGAGATATTATTTGAGGAGAAGAAAAAACTAAATAGTTTCGACTTCCCTCGGTTAAATTTAATGCAGGAGACAGAATGACTTAGGCCTTAGAGGCGCAGAAGAGACTGTACAACTGGGAGAAGCCCAGTCACCAAACACCATGGACAATTTAGTATTTTTTTTTTTTACTTGCAATAAACTAGTGCTTGACTGCGATCCCACCTGATGTTAAGCAGTGATGCAATCGTTGATGGTAAGGCGCACTAATTTATTAAGAGCCTATTCACTCTAGCCTTGAAGACACCTAAATTGTATTCGGACGGAAAGACTGCAGCCGGCAAACTGTTCCAATCCCTCGATGCACGCGGTATAAATGACGAGGCAAAACGCTTAGTCCGGGCCGCAGGTGTCTCAACAACGTAGGGGTGGATATTCGCCGTACGCCGTATTGTAATGGTCAGTATGGTAAAACTCACTGCTTATGCTCCTTCTCCTTGTCGAGGAGGATCCGGAGTTCCCTCAGTTCCAGGAGGAACTCTCGATCCATTTCAGTATCATAGTACTCCGGTCCGGTACAGCTGTACGTCCAGCTAGACATTATAGCCTGGAACAAAAATAACGGGGAATATAAAAAACTAATTGTATATTTTTTATTTTTATTTTATGTGATAGGTCGGCAAACTAGCTGACGGATTACCTGATGGTAAGCAATCAGAGCCGCCCATGGACACCCGCAACGGAGAGGTTACGAGTGCGTTTCCGACCTTTTAGGGATTAGGGATTTGGAGATTTAGGGATTGAGCGGGGATTGGGTGGGGGAAGGATTGGGCCTCCGGTAACCTCACTCACACGGCGAAACACAACACTGTGGTTATTTCACGCCGGTTTTCTGTGATCTCCGGTATAGCCGACCCATTCGTGCTGAAGCATGGCTCTCCCACACTTAAATTAATCCTAATCCTTAAAATGTCGGCAGCACACTCGTAACTCCTCCGTTGCGGGTGTCCATGGGCGGCGCTGATTGCTTACCATCAGGTAATCCGTCTGCTCGTTTGCCGACCTATTGCATAAAAAAAAACTGAAAATACACTTTGGTTATTTTTTCATTGATCCACATTAAAAACAAAAAAGTAATTACCTGAGCACAATGATAGAAATCGTTGAAGGTCAAATAAGTTAGTTTTCGCTTGGCCGTTTCAAACCGCATGCAGGCTATAAATACAACTGCGCCGTATTTCCTTAAAACAAAATATTACAACATTAATTTGGTTAAGGCAACGCGACCTCGGCCTAGAGCAGGAGAAGGAATGGGGGGGTTTTTAGTCAGTAAGAGTCTGACACTGTCTCTCGCCATACCTTGGGCGAGTGAAGCCATTTGATGATTTTCACATTCACAAAAAAACCATGATTTTTTAAAGACAAAACTGTTTTTTGTAACAAAACTGAATAACATTACTCACTCATTCAGCACCTGTGTAGAAGCTACTCACTGACGAACAGACTGACAGACTACTATTCTATTTTGACGTTTCAAAAGTACCTATTTATGGTTTAGTTGGAATACATATTAATTTTGAGTTATACTACTTACTACTTAGATACTTTTTAAATTTTGAGTTTTCAGACTTATTTATTACCTAAGCTGAATGCACGCCACATTTCGTTGCACATAAAAATTGTGAGAGAATATTTGCTTAAACACTTCAATACAAATATTACATATTACAAAATATTCGTACTTCATTCATTGAATTAAAGATATTATAATTTTAAATGGTCCTTATGTAAATTAAAAAACGATATCACATCACAAATTTCAAAGAAACCGCTCGACTGGAGTGAACTCCCTGAAAACAGACGTGAAACAATCACAGCGTTGTGTTTCGCCGTGCGAATAAGGTTATCGGAGGGCCAATCCTTCCTCTTGCCAATCCCAATATCTCCAAACCTCTAATCTTCAAAAGGTCGGCAACATACTCATAACTCCTGTGTCCATGAGCAGTGCTGATTGCTTACCATCAGGTAATTCGTCTGTTTAAGAAAACCGTTAATATTATTACATCTTATCTTACTAATATTATAAATTCGAAAATGTTCGGCTGTTTGTTACTCAACCACGCCAAAACGGGTGGACGGATCAGGATGAAATTCGGCACAGGCATAGGTTACACTCCGGAATAGGACATGGGCTACTTTTTATCATCATACGACGCAGGCGAAACCGCGTGCGGAAGCTAGTTAATAGTACATCACTAACCCCCGGTTTCTGAAAGGCTTGTCAACGCTAAAATTAACTAATCTCCTGTTAAATCCCTTGTCAAGTCATCTGATTGGTTGTTGATAATTCAGTCAACCAATCAGATGACTTGACAAGAGATTAAATTGATTTTAAGATTGATTGGCTTTTCGGAAACCGGGTGTAAGACTTACTTAGCAAGCGGTTCAGACAGGAGGAACGTAGCTCGGATGTTGGCTACGACGTTGCCAGGCATCTCCTCGACGGCCTTGAAGACGCGACGGACGTTGTCGAATTGTCGCCGGCAACAACGGAGGGGGGCGCCAGACCGCTCAGCTACCTGGGGTAGGCAGAGATATAGGGTAAAGAGTAATTTTCCTTGAAAAAAAAAGGAGTAAGATAATCTTATAGTACTAACATTATAATTGGGAAAGTTACAATGTTAGAAAGTTTGTTACACAATTACGCCAAAACGGCTAGACGGATCTGAATGAAATTTGGCACAAGCATAGGATACACTCCGGAATAGGACTTAGGCTACTTTTTATCAACATACCACGCTGGCGAAGCCGCCGTTGTAAGCTCATCATCATCATCATCAGCCTATGAGTGCCCATTACTGAGAAAAGGCCTCTTCTCACACAGAGAATACTTGAGCATTAATCAATTGTGGGAGAGCCATGCTTCAGCACGAATGTGTCGGCTCGACCGGAATGATAGAAAACCGACGTGAAGTAACCATAGCGTTGTGTTTCGCGGCGTAAGTGTGACGGAGGCCCAATCCCCTCCCCCCCTATTCTTTCTAAAAGGTCGAAAACGCACTTGTAACTCCTGATATTTTGTACAGACATACATAGTTTGGAACTCGAGAAAGGACATGGGATAGTTTTTGTCACTATTCCACGTGAATGAAGTCGAGGGCAAAAGCTACTTATAAATAAACCAGAAGTAAAGTTTACCTCATCCAAATCCTTTCTGTGTCGAGAAGACAGCTTCCTACCGAGCAGCTCTCTGATAACTGCATCATCCAGTTCATAGTATCTGGAAATATCGAAAACTATTCTATACATACAAGTGTGGGAGAGCCATGCTTCGGCACGAATGGGTCGGCTCAACCGTTGTGTTTCGCCGTGTGAGTGAGGTTACCGCAGGCCCAATCCTACCCGCCATTCCCTAAATCCCCAAAGGGCCGGCAACGCACTCGTAACTCTTCTGGTGTTGTCGATTGCTTACCATCAGATAATCCGATTGCTCATGGGCCGGCTCGACCACAGTGACACTACGACCTCACAGAAAACCGGCGTGAAACACTCATAGCGTTGTGTTTCGTCGTGTGAGGTTACCGGAGGCCCAATCCTACCCTCTCCAATCCCTAAATCCCCAAAAGGCTGGCAACTCCTTCGGGATACAAGGCGTCACAAATTGATTGCTTACCATCAGGTAATCCGTCTGCTCGTTAGCCGCCATGGATGTTGCTTGACTACAGCGATACTACAGCCTTATGGATAACCTTCGAGAAACAAGGCTTGCATTGCTTTCCGCCGTGAGATAATGCCCTCAACTCCTTAACTCTTATATACCAAATCCCCAAATTTCCAACTCCAAAAGACCTAACTCCTCATGGATTTGCTTACCATCAGGTGATCCGTCAGCTAGTTTGCCGACGTATATCATAAAACATGACATAAATTGTAAAATGTGTTTACGCTCAAAGCTCGGGAATGGCTGCGCCTATTCCGATGCTTACTTCTCCTGAAGATAGTTCGATCAACTTACTTCTCAATAAGCATCTGTTTGGTTGCATCATCGATCTGGAATATCATTTGCTCCGACAATTTTGATGGCACGGTAAGGAGACGCTCGAGAAGGGCGAATGTTCTGAAAATGACAATATTTTATTTATTTCAAAATCTTCATCATCATCAGCCGGAAGACGCCCACTGCTGGACAAAGGTCTCTCCCTCAGTCCTCCACGTCGAACGACCAGTTTCCACCTGCATCCAGCCGGGGTAGCGGGGTAAGCGCAATGAGGCACCGCGACCTCGGCCCAGAGCAGGAGAAGGAACAGGGGGGTTTTTAGTCAGTAAGAGTCTGACACTCCCCCTCCCCCCCCCCCCCCCCCACCCGGCCCTGGGCGGGAGAAGTCATTCCATGATCCCCTCGACAATCATCCCCTCCAAAAAAATGACGGAAGGCTTTTATAAACTTTCGACTGCACGGTTGGTGCGGTGGCTGGGCAACTGTCTGCCGTGCAACGTGTCGCGGGTTCGATTCCCGCACGGAACAACTCTTTGTGTGATCCACAAATTGTTGTTCCGGGCCTGGGTGTGATGTGTTTGTGAAATTGTATATTTGTAAACGCACCCACAACATAGGAGAAAATCCTAGTGTGGGGCAACGATTAAACGCTTTTTGCACAAATAAGGACCTAAATGTGAAAATTCGTGAGATTGAATGGATGTGCAGACCTCCTGCTAGGTGGACCGACGACATCGTCAGAGTCGCGGGGAGCCAATGGATGCGGAGAGCGAGTGGAGAAATAAGTAATAATAATACAAACCTTCTCTGGACTTCCATGAATAATTCAAGACCAAAATTAACCAAATCGGTAAAGGCATTGTTGACTTACAACATTACAACAAAAAGTGGCATTGATTTTTATATTATCAGCCTATTTTTTTGTGGGGGGAAAATCATCAAATGACTTCTCCCGCCCCGGGGTCGGGCGGGAGGGAGTGTCAGACTCTTACTGACTAAAAACCCCCCTATTCCTTCTTCTGCTCTGGGCTGAGGTCGCGGTACCTCATTGCGCTTACCCCGCAACCCCGGCTGAACTTCAGCCCTATAGGGCCCGTCTGTGGTGATCTATTGGCTCATTGAGGCGCGCAAGGAACGATTATCAGACTATTAAGGACTTAATTAAGATAACAGTATTACCTGTAATGATCCAATACATCGCTGGCAATGAGCTCAACGGTCGCTCCATGCTGCTTGGCAAACCCTCGCTGATGGAGCGTGGATACAGCTTCACTAGCTGGAATGACCAATCGTCATCATTCATCATCAACTGCTAAACATAGCTTCCTTAATAGGAACGCATTATTAATATGGCAGTTTTATGTTTTTGAAGTTAAACGTCGTGAGGAAACCTGGACTTATAATTTCTAATTATAATTGTATTATTATGTGATTAATGCTCAATCCTTCTCCGTATGAAAAGAGACCTTTGCTTAGCAGTGGGCACTTATGGGCTGATGATGATGATGATGATGTCTTTTTTGTGATATTTTGGTGATATTTTGGTCGGCAAACAAGCATACGGATTACCTGATGGTAAGCAATCGGCACCTCCGCCGGTTGTAGAACGTTGCCGCGGGCTTGTGCCATAATAAAAATCGGCACCGCCCGTGTACACTTGTATCACCAGTACGTTACGAGCGCGTTGTCGGCCTTTTAGGGATTAGAATTTCGATGATTTAGGGATTGGGTAGAGATGGGGGAAAGAGGAAGAATTGGGCTTCCGGAACCTCACTCACACGGCGAAACACTACGCTGTGGTTATTTCACGCCGGTTCTCTATAAGGCCGCGGTACTCCAGTCGAGCCTACCCATTCCAGAGCATAATAGCTCTCAATACTTTTTTTAGAAAGTACCTTACTTTTTTAACATTTCTAATGATAAAGAGCATTAGCAGATGTACAAAAACAAAGCCATTAAAACTTGGATCAAATATACACATTCTGTATTAAGAAAGGCAGGTGCCTTTTACAATTATTACTGTAGACAACATACATTTTGTCATTCTGCCAACACATTGATTAATTACTGTTGCTTTAATATTTATAATATAATACTAGCAGACCGCCCGCTATCTCGCTATCAAAGGGTCACTTTTTCCTAATCTTACCCTCTGCTTTTCTAATATTTCCTTTGATAAAAACCTTCTCCTGACAATATCAAACACAACAAAAAAAAATTTGCAAAATTGGTCCAGGCGTTGTGGAATGTGGAGTTATGCGCTTACTAATACATTTTGCGATCCATTTTTATATATATAGACTAGGAGCTCGCCCCTGCTTCGCACAGGTCTCATCATCTCGCTTAAGACGAAAGGGTCCCTATTACGCAGCTCTCCCCTCTATGTTTCTAAAATTTTCTTTCATAAGAACCTTCTCTTTACAATAACTCACATAACAAAAAAAGAATCAGTAGAATTAGTCTAGGCGTTATTGAGTTATGCGCTTACCAACATATTTTGCGATTCATTTTTATATATATAGATTAGTAACTATAAATTACACTAAATATTGTGTGCGGAGTGTTCCGAAAGAGGAAAGAGTTTGTTGTGATGAAATGATGTCTTTTTGTATTTTTTTGGCAAGACAGTTTTAGAAATAACATTTTTTATTGTGTAGTGCTTTTTCTTTTAACATGTGTGTATCAATTAATAATAAAACTTATAATTTTACAACCTACAGTTTATTTAAACTGTTTTCTTTTTATTTTGTATTCCTGTTTGTATTTGTTTTAATACATGTGGTGTAAGCTGTAAATGTAAGTAAAAGTAATGTAAATAAATAACAAATATTTAATTTACTGGAGTTTATTATTTATTTAAGTGTCAACTCTGCCCACATGTTTTTTTTTATGAAATAATTAAATAATCTTTATAATGATGGACTTAAAAAATAATTGACAAATGACAAGATAAAATACAAAGTTCCTTATTCTTGATCCCTCCACCCTCAACGGGCGACGCCAATTTCTGGCCATCATACATCAATCACTAATAAAGAATCAATCTGCTTATTTGCCACAATACATTAAAAAAGTGGTAACTTACAACTTCATCATTTACATTATTAGTTTTGTTTGCAAGGAAAAAGGATTTACTGAATCGTTAAATGCAAACAATTAATTATAATCGAATATACCAATAACAAACTTATAGGAATCTTATTTCATGAATAAAGGTTAAAAATATTTATTTTTATTAGCATCTTCTACGTGAAATAAGCAAAATAATATTTATTGTTTCTTACCATATTCTACTAGAGATAGAAACCGCCTAAATATAGATTTAATATAAGATTTTGTAACGATAAAGCAATGATAACGATATCACGACGGACGAAATACTTACAAGAACAGCCTTCAATCCACAGCTGGTATATTTCAGGATCTATTAGTGTATAATTACTAACGAATACATCAACTTCTGTGTACATTTCTTTATATTTGTATTAGTTTTTCGTAGGTAACCCAAAACCAAATCACAATTTTCGTCCAAAATATTATTTTGACACTGACTTTAAGATTTCAATGTTGCCTTAACTCAAAAATAAACAAATAGGATAGGTTTTAAAAATATAGTTTATTAAATAATATTCAATCGAAAACGCGACAAATAAATACTTTTCAATTTTAATTAACAATTTCAAAGTTTGAATTTACAATTTCGCTACCAGATGTAGTTTCAGGCAAATACTACCGGTAGTGCAGTCTATTTTAAAATAGTGAAGTTAGCAACAGTATCAGTAATTTGCTCATGTTATTGACAGATCTGTTAAGTTTGTTCCAAAACCAGATTAGAAAAAAAAATAACAATATAAAAATTTACAATATTGATTGAAACTGGTTTGTTGATTGAGGATAGTAACTCTTGTAATATTAATTATTATTTTTTTAATTATTTTTTTTAGCTTAAAATAATAAAGATGCTATTTTGCTTTGTAATATAAATGATGATTTATAAATAAGTCAACATATATAATTTGTAAAAACTTTTCGAACGCATATCAATACGATTGATTTTTCTCAGGTTCGCTGTGATTGTAAAATTTATTAAAAACCAATGAAATAAATGTGAATTTAAAGTGAAAAATAATTATGTAAGTACTCATAAACATTCAGCCTACTAATAACACAAAGAAATAATGAATAAAACCTGTATTTTACCCTTAAATTTAGGGTTAAATCCTCAAAGTTTTTTTTTGTAGAGTCCAAAAATAGATATGTCTTGCTTCGGCAACGATTATTTGCTTTATTTATTGTTCATATTAGGTAGTAAGATTGCTTATTATGTTCCAGAGTATATTATATTTCAATATCGTCCTCTTATCGGCGAAGAAACCGGTAATAACAAAAAAAAATAGTATTATTTGTACTATATTTTAATTTGTACTGTGATAAGAAACTTCGGTATGTTCTCGCTTTTATTTTACATATTGAGATAAGAGTGGTAGTATTGAAATTAAATCTAATATTTGTTATTGCCACAGCTGTTACATTTCTGAATAACATAGCATAACATTGAACTATTCTAAATCATTTCTAAAGGGGTAAGCAGAGATATAATACAATACAACACACAGTTTTTACCAGTAATTTTATGAGCCCCATGTAATAGGGGGTGATTAGGTACTCGCTGAATCCAAACAGTTACTAACAACTGTAACAAAAACATATAAGTTCTAAATTAACTAAAAATTGCAGGTTACTAACATGTGTAAATTGAGAAAAGCTGTACTAGTTTCTAACCACAGATTTACACACATGAGTAACCCACGATTTTTTGTTAATTTAATATGTCTCACGATAGTTATTATAAAAATATAGTAAACTGATAAATTCTATTTATTTCTGACCTGTAACAAACTGGAGACCTCTTCTTCGCAGTCACACTAACAACCTCTACACCAATGAGGCATTACTTTTAGTAATCAAATGCTTGTAAAAAGAATTAAACCAATTTTCTTAATGTTGATCTATTCCGACTTTAGAACTCTCAAAAAACCTTAACTATACAAGCTACCCTCACTCTGTTTCACCCGGCTCCTTTTCATCGTAGCTTGATGTTTCATAGCCTAAAGCCATCCTCAATAAATGGTCTTATAAACACAATATAAATTTTTCAATTTGAACCAGTAGTTCCTGGGATTAGGGGTTCCAACAAACTCTTCAGCTTTACAATATTAGTAAAGATTTTTAATTGATTGCTTGTAATCAGTGGTGCAATTTAATATAACAAAATCATTATTGGCGTTTAAATCGGTAATTCATAATTGGGTTGAGGATAAGTAAAAGTAAAAAGTAAAAAAGCCTTATATTTCCCAGTTTAAAAAACAAAAAAAATATTACATTTACAAACAAATTTTTACATTAATTTTATTAAGGAACCCCTGAGGTGAAGGCCTCCTCCAGAGACTGCCATTTTTCTCGATCTTTTGCTGTATCTAGCCAGCGTACTCCAGCCGCACGCAGGATGTCGTCCTCCCATCGTGCGTGCGGTCTTCCTCTTTTTCTTTTTCCTATCGGTCCTTTCCATGTTGTTATTAGTTTTGTCCATCTATTGTCCTGCAACCTTGCTACATGTCCTGCCCATTTCCACTTGAGTCTAAGTGCATATGAAACTGCGTCAATTGCTTTGGATTTTGATCTAATTTTTGAGTGATGAATTCTGTGTTGTTTTTTAATATTGAACATGCTGCGCTCCATTCCCCTTTGGCATGTGATAATTTTGTTTTTAACAGCAACACTATATTTCCATGTTTGACATGCATAGGTTAAGCATGGGAGCAGATTTGAATCCATTACTTTCTTTTTCAGTTCCACTGGGAGGTCGCTTTTGAATACTTCTTTTAGACTCCAGTATTTATTCCAAGTTTGTTTAACTCTCCGTTCTACCTCTAATAAATTACTTTTTTTAGCAAAAGGGTTGAGGATAATGACATCATTAATTTTTGTTAAATTGTTGCGATGAATCACCCAACTTATACTTGTAAGTTTTTGGTAGAATATACTTTATCCGAAGTTAAATCTGTTACCAGAACAACATGTCATCGGAGACAAGTGAACAAGATCAGCACGAAAATGACATGCTAAGCATGTTCGCCAGTGTCTGGGTGAAGGTGGAAGTCGGGGAGACGGAAGACAACCTGCCCTTTGTCGATCCTGATCAAGAGGTTGCTGTGTAAGTATAACGGCTTCAGAACCATTGTTGGATCGAATGGAGTAATCACAGCAGGATTCAGCGTGAAACGACGGTTGCGTCATGTTTCAATGTGTGAGTCAGGGTACTTAATCTCAAACCTCCCCTTTCCCTCATCTCCAACCCTCAAATACTTAAAATGCTAAACTTCAAAAGACAAAGCACTTGTCTTCTGGTCTTCGGATATCCTTGGGAGGCGCCGATTGTTTACCATCAGGTGATCCGTAAATATAAGATATTCATCAACTCTTGAGAATCTTAATGCTAAACTAGGAGCTAAGAAGGTTCCGAAGGCACTGTGTAGTGGGAAGCGTGAGAGAGTGTCTGACTCTTACTGACCAATGACCATGCTACGGCTCGAATAGGCCAGCTCGACCGGAGTGATACCACGGCCTCACAGAAAACCGACGAGAAACAACTACAGCGTTGTGTTTTCCCTTTGAAAGTAAGGATACCGGCGGCCTTAACCTTTCCCTTCTTTCTAAACTCAAAATCCCCAAAACACCGGCAATGCAAGTGCAACTGCAGAAGTCTACAGTGTCCATGAGCAACGATGATTGCTTACCATCAGGTAATCAGTCTGCTCGTTTGCTAATATACCAACCAGCACATTCCAACTTACGTTTTGAGCCGGGGCCGCGGTAATTAATAGCTGATCTAACCGCAACTCTAGCCATCATTTTACATTCACGCTATCCAAAGCCGGTAGACCACTGCCTATAAAAGTCCTGATAACAACATTCAACATTGTCCATTCCACTGCGACGATGTCATAGGTATGCCGATAACCATATAATTAACTGACTTTAAAAATAGGTCAGTTTAACCTACCTACCTATAATGATGGAATCGGATATTTTAGTATTTACGATAATTCATAAGTGGTCCTGTCATGGTCTGTGCTAATCCTACCTAAGAATTTAGAATGATTTTAAATCTCATTAATTCATCAAACTCTTATTGTTCTTCTATAGTGTCTCCAATTAGTTACATAGATTTTCGCATATAAAAACCGGAAAACATCACCCATTATGTTCCAATTGCGCTCAATCCAGGAAGGATTTCATTTTATCATTTTCCAGTTCTTAAATCGCCTTAAAGAAAAGCCGGCAATGCTCTTGAAATTCCTCGGCGTTGCAAGTATTCATAAATGGGCAACATCGATAGCTAACCGTGTATGTGACGCCCCATCTTATAAAAAAATAATATTGAACTTCAAATCCACCTTGATATCTTCATTCAAAATTATTAATTTATAATTTTTTATATTACAGAACCGTCCAGAAAAAGAAGAAGAAACCACCTCGACCGACAGAGACTTTAAAATGTCAGTTCTGTGATTACACAACAGTTTATAAAAACTGTTTGAAGCTTCATATAATGGGGCATAGTAATATCAAACCTTATTCCTGTGACGCTTGTAACTACACCACGAAGTACCCAACGTCGTTACACAGGCATATGTTGATACAACATAATTTTAAAGTTACCGATCACCTCCAGATGCAGGTCTACCAGTGTGAAATTTGTCCGTACTCATCGTATTTCAAGTGGAACTTGAAAGCACATACCAGAAAGCACACAGCTGAAAAAAAGTATAAATGTGAGCAATGTGATTACGCTACCGCATACAGACACAATTTCAATAAACACCATAAAGTACATAATAAAGAAGAAATGATGTACAAATGTGACAAATGCCCATTTGTAACCAAATATGAGGGTCATATTGCAAGACATTTGGCGAAAATTCACAATGAAGTGTCCGATAAGGCAAGGAAGTGTGATATGTGTGATTTTTCAACTAAAGTTCAGTGGAGATTGAACGTGCATAAGCGGAGAAGCAAACAGAATGGTGTTTTGAAATGTTCCTTCTGTGATTTTGAAACTAGTTTCATGTGTGAGTCTAAAAAACATAAAGCCATGCATTTTGACGATGCTCAAGAAGTGAAATTGAATGAATCGAGCGGGGAAATCACTGTTGGATCTGGTGTAGTAGCAATACCGCAGCCAGATGAGAGTTCGGTTCACGAAAAGTTTAATAACTACACTTTAGATCCGAACTGTGAAATCGACTGGCATAACATCAAAGTACTAGACTCAAATTCTAAAGACCGTCCGTTCCAATGTACCATGTGTAGCTATACGTCTAGATTCAAGGCTTCAGTGCAAAGGCACTTTCAAAGACACCACACGGGCAGTCTACACCGTCCTTATAAGTGCGTCAATTGCGATTTTTCAACTAAAACGAAAGATCAGATCGCCTTACATAATAAACGGAGTCAAT